TTCCAGTTTCATATGCAGGTTCCAGATCTGCCAATTCCTGCAAGACATTGTGGAGCTCATTATCCGCCACATCGCGATTGACGGAGGCTAAAGAATTGATGTCTGCAAGAAGGTTGAGAAGATAGGTCCGCGCAGGGGCCAACTTTGAGCGAGATCGTTTCTCCAGAACAAATCGACGCAACGAACTCTCCAGATTCTCGAAATCTTGGATCTTTTCCTTCTCCTTCCCTTTACCCTTTCCTTTGTCACCGGGCTTGTCGTCGTCATCATCATCACCATTCGGCCAGTCATTTCCATTGGGATCAGAGCCTCCACCTCCACCACCTCCTCCACCGCCGGGACCTTCGACAGGGCCCTGCGGCGCAACAGGAATAGCATTACTCGACACAAAGTGGACAAGTTCAGCAGACTCCTTATAGGTGCGGGGGCTTAGCTTTTTAATTTGGTCCAGAATCATTCGCTCGCATCGCTGCTTGTCACGGATTTGATCGAAACCGTTGACAACCATAAACATATAAGCCTTTTCGTGTGCTGCGTTCCAAATGAAGTCCTGGGCGGAGAGGGTGAAATGGTTGGCAGCCGAAACTACAAATACCACCACATCAATTTCCTCCTGGCGAGCAAAGACAGCAGTAGTCTTCAAGGAGTCCGAGTTTAACCCAGGGGCATCGATCAAAGCAATGTCCACCACTCCATTGTTGAGCAAAGACTCATCGATGGTTCGTACGTCCTTCACATAAACCTTGCACTGCATATACTTTGAGTTGTCGATGACGATATTCTCGAGTTCATTCAGCGCGTAAACGTCGTAGGTAGTCTCATCATTGCGGTTGTATTGTTGATTCTTATGCACGGCATGCACTTCCTCGAGTCCACCGTTCTCCCGAGCATCCAGGACCTCACAGAAAATGCTAGTGCAAGGTTGCTGGTCTTCGGGTAGCACCTTGCGACGTAACAGAGCGTTACAGAATGTGGACTTTCCAGCGTTCAAGTCTCCAGTAATTAAGACCTTACTCGAAATGTCCTCGATTCTGTCCCGTAGCGAGAGTAAATGCTTTACGCTCTGACTGATTTTGCCATCCAACAATGATGCAATGGACGACTTTTCGAGAGAGTGTACCAATTCAGCTTGTGACAAAGCTCCTAACTTCAAGTCCAACTTCAGGATCGAAAATTCTTGCGCAATTTGTGGGCTCATCAATCTTGGCTCTGGCGGAGCCCGGCGTTCCGCTGTAGCACTCGATTCTGCAAGCTCTTCATTCGTGGGCATGGTAGCGGCACGTTTCAAACTTCCAGGCCGCGTCAAATCACCCTGTTCTGCGCCCGAGCTCCCGAAAGACGATTGTGTTTGGTTTAAAGAAGGCCTCCGCGGGGGAGAGTCTGGGACACTCTGCGCGGCGGGATAGTGCGCGGGCCATTGTCGGTTCATGTCCTGCAATTCTCTCAACGTCTCAATTGTCCGGGAAATGGCGCGCGCAAGCTTCGTTCGGTTCGAGTTACTATACTCGTCATTAGCATTCCGGATAACCCAACAAGATTTTACCAGCCCCAGGAAAAGACATACTATAGCAACTGGTGGACATGACTGGCAACAACCTGCTTCTCGTGCTCGGCGGCGGGATTCCATTCTCCAGGTTGTGTAGGAGTATGCGCAGGGGTCGGCCTATCCGCCAACATCTCAGATCTCCATCCAGCACTAGAGTCTCCATCGGCTATACTGCCACCATACCCTGAGTCCGTATTCAGTGTATTCATCAATGCCGTAGCACTTTCCGAGGTCGAACCATTCCCAACGGTCATATAAGAGGGCGGGAGCCCGGGGACGAACGGGCTCGCCTCTGGCCTTTCATCGGGTGCGTGTCTCGATGACCCCTCACCGGCAGCGGAGCCAGCTTTTCCGGGGAAATATTCCTGACTCATGGTGATAGACGTGTGTTGTGCATAGGGTTTGCGTGAGGATGAATGCGTGGCGAGGATAAGGTGATGTGAGTTCTCTCGGCGCGGGTAAAAATTACGTCCCAAAAGGGGATGGTGGCCGCCATGTGACTGCCTCAAGAATCCACCCGTGGCGTATCGCCGTTTCGCCGTTACAAGTCTGGAAGCCTGATGTCACCGCAGCTCGCCAAAGGCCTGTGTTTCTTGTGCCGCACTAAACCCTCCACCGTTTCTTTCCCCTTTCTCTTCATATTTGCCTTTCTGTTAAGATGAATGTGAGTGTCTGCGATACCTCTATCGACAGGTCCACTGCTAACATTTACCTAAGATCGTCGAATGGGCATTCGGAAAGCGTATGACGCCCGCAGAGCGTCTTCGCAAACATCAGCGGGCTCTTGATAGGACACAGCGTGAACTGGATAGGGAGCGGACCAAGCTGGAGAATCAGGAGAAGAAGCTCATACAGGATATCAAGAAGAGTGCGAAGAACGGACAAGTCGGCGCCTGCAAGATCCAGGCGAAAGACCTGGTACGGACACGGAGGTATGTCGCTTGGAACTCTGGCCCATGTTGACCTGCAAGCAAGTCGCTAATAATATTTTTGATGCATAGATATATCCAAAAGTTCTATCAGATGCGAACACAACTACAGGCTATTTCTCTTCGCATTCAGGTACGACGCTCCCCCAAATATATGCGCTTGGCACAGAGCTTACGTATACATGGTATAGACCGTTAGGAGCAATGAACAAATGATGCAGTCCATGAAGGGTGCGACTATGCTATTGGGAAGCATGAATCGACAAATGAATCTCCCCGCGCTGCAGCGGATTGCGACAGAATTCGAGCGAGAGAACGACATAATGGATCAACGGCAGGAGATGATGGATGATGCGATTGACGAAGCAACAGGGATGGAGGGAGAAGAAGAGGAAGGCGAAGACATTGTCAAAGAAGTTTTGGACGAGATCGGTGTAGATCTCAACCAGGCGGTTAGTATCCTCTTTCGGCTAGTGATGTAGGCACTGGTTATACTGACGCATCATCTGAACAGCTGGGTGAGACGCCCTCGGGGATACAGAAAGAGTCGGTCAACGAAACGCGGGTGGCTCAAGCGGTTGGTGCTGGCGGCGGCGGCGGCGGCGGCGGTGGCGGCCCTGCAAATGATGATGACGACCTACAAGCAAGGCTCGACAGCCTCAGACGATAACCACGACCTATTCTCCCTCAAGTCTCTACACCGTATTTTCGACATCAATTTTATTTGGTAAGGGATGAGCCCTAACCTGTGTCAACCACGATCTACCCACGACGTTGTTAACGGAACAAACTTGATATGACGAAACTATTGATATCACGAACTTGGCCATGGCTACTTAGATTCCTGTTCTAGCCAATCTCTACCTTCCATAATCTTAACTCGCGGACCTATCCGCTGTCGAGGCACTTGCATCCTTGTAAATGAGGCTCTAAGGTCTCAAGTGAGAATTCTTCGCGTGTGATATGATGCAACTCGCGACCCCCACGCACTTTTACTGGGCATTGTTTGGAATGTCTGCTCAGGATCAGAGCACTTTTCTTTGGCGGGTCGCAGGACATCAGGCAGCCATGAAAGAACGAATAAGCAAAATCTAGCAGCCTTCAGGAATTTCAACTCTGACCACCAGACCGGGATAACCACACCGAAGGGCGATTATGCGACCGCTCTAGAGGCACTACTAGCGGAAGCAAGTACATAAAAATATAAAGTAGTACGTACGTTTCTCTTCTTTTGTGACCGTGGGGCACCTGCAAACAGCCGTGGAGTAAGCCACTCATAGTAAGAGCCTTATCTGTGCCCGGTTTCCAATTTGCCCGGGCTAGTGAAACGAAAGGGAGGGTGAGCGTCTAGCGCCCGTTAAAGAGGGATCACTTTATTATCAGGTAAGCATTGCATGTCCCAGCCAATGTGCAGTTAATGAATGAAGACCCCGCATATCGCAGAGGGAGCTTCGGGCTGTGGAGCAATCATTGCAAGCAACTTCGCAATTAATGGGCTTGCGGCTCCCATGCATGCAAAGATTAATACAAACAATTACAATTAGTTCCAAGGTGTTCGCACTCTGACTCACAGAGTCATCGGTAATTGGCAGTTGGGCAGTGGGCACAGCCCGAAGCTAAAACACGGACGAAGCAGCTTGGAGTTGGGGCTGGAGCAAATCTCGAAGCAACGGCATTGGTCTCCTTCTCTTGGCTGCATATACTCTGTCAGAGAGCTTCTCACAGGATGCCATCAACAAGCAGGTTGTTGAGCCGCTTACAATCCTGTGAGCTATGCATTGCTGCCTCAAACCGGAATTTATACCCGACAGCTCGGGAAGAAGAGGTAACCGGTTAACCTCCATGGAAGCAAAGCAACGCGAGTGGCTTTCTGTGTCATCTCACAACCAAGCAAAAGAGCCTCAGTTAAAGCAAGGCTCACCTCCACTCAAGGTTTCCGCCTTGACGCACCTCAATCAATATGAGACTTGCGGCTGACGCAGAACCGAAGGGGCGTACATTGCCAAGTTGGATTTCCATCCATGCTAGATGCCTCACCTTTCTGTGCCCGGGTTCACAGCCTCACTTTGTCACTCTAGCTGTTCCCCAGTGATAGAGTTTCTCTTGCTGATTCGCCTGAACTTCTACATGAAATTATCCCCGCATTCCGCCCGAGAAGCAGTCTTCTGACGGGATATCGGGCGCTCATGGTGTACAAGGGCACTGATATCAAGTGTGCCACGACAGAACCCCCATTGGCCAATAGAAGATTTCCTAGGACAGGGGTTTTGAACGGTTGCATTCTGAGCCCATTGAGCGTCCGCTGACCCCCCCTTTAAGAAAAGAGAATGCGTGTTTAATTTGTGTAGGGATAGTTGAGGTATTTCAAAGCCCTCGTCGCCTCGTTTGAACTTGTTGGATTGTAATTCCCTAGTCTATTCATTCCTTTCAAATCAGCTTTCCTGGTTCCTTTATCACATTAGATCACAGCCTCTTCCACATATTGCCCTTTTACCTAAGGCCCTTGGGGAATGATGATCACCAACATGAATACCCCTATGCCCCATCCACATCACGCTCCAACTCACCCGGGCGAGAGACCTCATGTCTTGTTCAACACCCCGCATAGCCCTGTGAACCATGATCAGCTAGCGAATCAGATGAACCAACTCCGCATTCAACAAGAGAGGTTTAGCCCAAGAAATGAAAGAAGGTCGTCAAGGGACTCCATTGCTAGCACTGATATCGACGAAGATGCGGCGACATGGTATGTTGGCTACACATTCTTCAAGGCCCAGCCAGCTCCGGGCCATCCATACTCCTGGAGGAAAGTCGACAAAGCCAAGATAAACCTGGGGCAGGGTGACCTTGCCGACCTCATACGAAAGAGGGCTAGGAAAATGTCGACCGCAGATCAATACCAGAGCCTAACTACTATCAAGCGGCCCCATGTGGATCGCGTAATCGAGGATCTCCAACAAAGCAACCCTCAATTCCAATGGAGCTGTGCCTATGTAAAAGAGGAGACCCGGGACGTCAAGGGAAAAAGCTTCCGTCGTGATTACGAAACGACTTCAATGAGCATCATACTCGTGGGAAAACGGACAAACCGATCATTTTCTGGCGAACCCCGAGATTTCAGAGACCAGATGCCTGGCCAGGCTCAACGTCCCTCACCCCAGAACCAGCATAGACCTATCGTCGGAAATGGACCATACGCTGATCCACGAAGTGAGCCAAACATTTCCCCAACGCCAATGCCATCCCAAATGCCTGGAATGCAACATGGGCTTGCACAATCTCATCAACCAGGCCCTGCTGCTTTCCGCCTGCCACCACAGAACCCTATGGCAGCGTTGAATCCAATGGCCGCACAGAGCCCGATGGCCGCACAACACCCGATGGCCACACAGAACCCTATGGCTGTACGAACCCCGATTCCAGGCCCACAGCATTCGGACCACGGCAATTGGACACAAGATGTTACAAGAGACTCCCTACCACATCCTCCGCTGCCACATCCACCGAATCCTAGGCCGGCGGTGCACAACCCGATAAGTCAGCCGTTTGTGGCGCATACTAGACCCGATGACCAAGAGGATGATGCACGGAGAGTCAAGGTCGATCCACGCGTCCAGAATAATAGGAACGAGATGCCCCATCAGAATACAACCCACCGTCATCAGCCCGAATTTCACGTGGATCATCGGATGAACGCTAAAGGAAAGCGTATTAAGTCTCCAAAACCGCTTTTTGGATCAGAGCCGGACCTCGTGTACGACAGCACTAGCAGCGGAGACGAGAACCCGACGCTTGAATACTACGACGACGACTCGGAGGAAGAGTTCTCTAGCCGAGAAGTCAAGTCAAACAAGGCTCGCCTACTATCGCGAGGAGGCGTTCATCGTGGCGCCCGTTCTCCATCACAGTCCCATCATCGTTACCGCACACACTATCGGAAGCAACCCCGACGGGTTGCAGATCGTGGGAACAGGAGATATCGAGAAGATGCCGATATCGACTTGATCCCAGCGGAAGGAGTGCATAGTGCAAGGAACGTGGCCAGGACTCATGGCAGAGGTCGGCAATGGGGTGTACAGCCCAGGATAATCCACCAAGAGCCGAGCTCCGATGAACTTGATGTACTTATGATGAACCAGTACCGAGGACAACCCCAGAATGAGAGCCGAAGCCGGGTTTTGGATAATTGGCAGGCAGAGCTGGCACAGCGCGAGAACTTCATCGAGTACCAGGAGCAGAGACTCAAGAATACGTTTCGCAACGATCGGATGGATGATATGGGTTATATGTATCGTTCAAGGTCTCTGCGAGATCCCATGCCCGCATATGCCCGTCATTATCCACTGAGGGCCCTGAATTACTATTAGCCATCGTTTCGCGTATCCTGAAAACTTATTGCCCGGTTCGTTTTCTTGTCTTCTTTCGGGTATTTCATCGGCATGGTCTGTTTGGCCGTGGAATGCAATGGGGACCTGAAATAACTGTTTTTCTTTGTTAATACCATCATATTTCAATCAATTCCTGTACTAAAATAGGGCCAGTGTGCCCAAGAAATGCTCGAAATTGTGGTAGTTCAGGTAGTGACGCAGGGCCAACTCACAGGACTGGGTCGGCAGCCCGCTTGAATGACTTCACCCCGAGTTCCCTATCGATAAGGCTGCCCCTCCATTAAGTCACCGGGTTAGTGCACTCCCGCTGCTCCCGTTTATTTTCGTCATCCCTCGCCCTGCTTCAAACTTCCCTCTTCCAGCTTCCAACTCACTACAAAACATCTTTTTCCCTTTCCCAACTCTCGAAACCATTCCATCTATCATACAAAATGCCTCGCCAATTCTTCGTCGGTGGTAACTTCAAGATGTATGTCCTTACTACCCCGCAATGCCTCGCACCCTCGTGGCCGCCATATACTCCTGCCTCAAGGCCCCGTGGCTAACCATTGTTTCCGTCGATTCCAATTACAGGAACGGTAATGCTGAGAGCACTACCGCCATCATTCAGAACCTCAACAAGGCCTCTCTGGATTCATCCGCCGAGGTCGTTATCTCCCCTCCCGCTCTCTACCTCCTCCTCGCCCGCGAGATTGCCGACGAGAAGATCGGTGTCTCTGCTCAGAACGTCTTCGACAAGCCCAATGGTGCTTTCACCGGAGAGATCAGTGTTCAGCAGCTCACTGAAGCCAAAATCAACTGGACCATTCTTGGACACAGCGAGCGTCGCGTTATCCTCAAGGAGAGCGATGAGGTACGCGCACTGTTACCCCCAATGACACCAACCTGAATGCTAAGAAATTTAGTTCATTGCCCGTAAGACCAAGGCTGCCATTGACGGTGGTCTCAGCGTGATTTTCTGTATTGGTGAGACGCTCGAGGTAAAGCTCCCTTTTTCCATTTTCCTTGATCTTAATTACCCCACCTTGATCAAGATTTCCTCCCAATTGAGTTGTTTGTGCGTATTAACGACCTCTACAGGAGCGTGAGGCCAACAAGACCATCGAGGTCGTCACCCGTCAGCTTAACGCCGCCGCCAAGGAGCTTTCCCAGGAGCAGTGGAAGAAGGTCGTCATTGCCTACGAGCCTGTCTGGTAAGGCACATCATGAGCTAAACTTAGTCGCATTTTCTTTTTGTTGAACATTAGTGGACTGACAGATATATAGGGCTATTGGAACTGGCAAGGTTGCTACCACCCAGCAAGCCCAGGAAGTTCACGCTGCCATCCGCAAGTGGCTCAGCGACGCCATCTCCGCCGAGGCTGCCGAGAACACCCGTATCATTTACGGTGGCTCGGTGAGTGAGAAGAACTGCCAGGAGCTCTCCAAGGAGGCCGATGTCGATGGATTCCTGGTCGGTGGCGCCAGTCTTAAGCCTGCCTGTATGCCTTCCCTGCCTTTCGTCCTTGTTGTTACCTGAATGCATTTATCACTAACCCACATCTTAGTCGTTGATATCGTCAATGCTCGCCTGTAAGCCTTTGTGCTAAAATTCAACACGCGAATATAAAAAGGGCAAAACTCCACGCTCGCCATGATTTTCAAGCGTAATCGCCTCTTCGATGCCATGTTGTGGTATCGCAACGGCATCTATTAAATTTATGTAGCCTCGACCTACACAGAGGAGTTTTGCATATATCTCTACAACATTGAAATAAAAAAAGAAATATACGATATCCGTCTCGCAATAACGCAGATTCATGGTGTCTATTGTCTCATAAAATCTGATAAACTATATACATCTAGACAGTGTTCATTCAAGTACATAGATCCGAAGAAATCCCTCATGAAGAATATGATACCGAAACCCCCACGCCCCTCCAGTATGAGGCCGGTGAGCCCCCACCGCTGCCTTGAGCCCCGGCTGTACCCGGGGGATTTGCATATGACGATGGTGAGAAGGAACTCGGGCCGAGCCCGACACCGGCGCTGACCAAAAGCTCCTTCACCCGACCTTCCCAGAGAAGACGAACATTCCAGGATTGGTCGACTCGTAGCTTAAGCACGGACTCTTGAGACTCATCTTCATGGTTTGGTCGTGGGATTTCAGGTTCAGGGGGTGCCAGGGGAAAAGCTGAGGGATCCCAGACACGGACCTTCCTGCGGGCCCATTCAAGATCGTCGCCATCGCTTCCCGCGGCCAACTTGGGCTTTTTCGATTGTCGCCATAGTTCAAATCCCGCTACCATCTCGCTTTCCCAACTGTAAACATTGAAACCGAACCGAGAGCTAAATGACAGATTGGGAGAGGCGCGTAATGAGTATGAGGTTGAGAGGGATCCCGTCAAGGGAGTTAGCGTGAGTGTTAAAGTATATGGAAAAGTTGATATGGGAGCACTAGGGCTGGGTATCAATGACGACGACTGTGGATTGGAAGCAGCTGGCAAAGTGCTGAACCTTAGACCCGTGGACATGCCTATTAGCGATGATACTGGGGAATAATAGGCCTCTGCGCCGGCAGATAGCAGTGATAACCGTTGGATGTCATTGTGAAACCGGGGATCGGGGCCAAAGTTCCAGAGTCCGCGCCAGCCGAAGAGTGAATTATCCGTACTGAATAAATACTCATTGCTGTATTTTCCGGTGTCATGAGACAACTGGGTCAGGAGCGTAGCCTGTGGTGCGGACTTTGATAATGGAGGACCGCGTGTCGAGGACACAGCAAGTGAGAGCTGCATCGTTGGGGAGATGCGTCGCAGGAAAAGCGCGTTCAGGGTTGTCGGTGGTGGCAAGTGCAACGTTGCATGGAGCAATGTTGCCTTCTGTCCATCCGGGCCTTGTCCGTAGCCATTGCTTCCACTCTTAATTCCATCTAGTATAGAGTCCCAATTCCACGAGTCAACAGGGGGGGCGATAGGCGCATGCACTTGTCGATAGCCTGGGGCGAGATTACGAAGAGGTATTAAAGCGCTTTTGCTTGGCAGGTTGTCAAAGGATATGTTGCTGTATAGGTATGATACGGAGCCTTCGATCAATCCGACGGTACCCAGTGTATAACTTGTCGCGAAGTTGGGGGTTGACAGAGAGGAAAGGTGAACCCGGGCACGCTCGGGGGTTGTGAAGTCCAAGAGGGCTACACAAACAGTCAATGCAAAATCCTTTACCAACACATATGTAAATGCCTGAGAGCGAGCTACTCACACTGTGTGGTCGCTGTGAGCGACGAGTACGAATTATCGCGGTTCCATTGCGTCCGCTCCGCGAACGCGAGTTGGATGTAGTCCATGAAATCAAGCATCGTCAGGCACCCACGACAACTTAACTAGAATATATGGGTGTTATGGCAAATTTGATTTCGGTGAAATGGCATGCAGCATGATGAAATTAGAGATCAACCGTGTAAAAGAACATGATAATCCGAGGATGAGGCCGCGGGCCATCAGCTCATTTCCCCTTTGGGTGAGTCGGATAAGGCCCCGCACCAACATTAATCCGGCGTTATCAGCGAAGAAAAAAATAATTCCACTGCGATTCAACAATATTCTCCGCACTTGTATATAACCCAACTCGCTTACCCCGAGTCTCAACGACAGCCTTTGACATCAGGTGTATATTATTGCCAATTGTCGATTTTTCACCATGCCTCGTTCCAAGCGTTCCAAGATCATCCACGAGTCCAAGACCGCCAAAAAGTCCCACAAGGAACAGACCAGACGACTGTACGCTAATATTCGCGAATCCGTCGAGAAATATGATCACCTTTTCGTTTTCTCTGTCGACAATATGCGAAACACGTATCTGAAGGATGTGCGCACAGAATTCGGTGACAGTCGGTCAGTGCACCCATTTGATATTCAAATCCCCGCTGCGCAGCTTTTCCTATCACACAGGCCTAATTAACATATAACTGACCAAACACAGCCTATTTTTCGGCAAGACGAAGGTCATGGCCGTCGCCCTCGGTCATAATCCCGAAACCGAGGCCGCTGAGAACCTCCACCTCCTCACTCCCTACCTGACTGGCGCTGTCGGTCTCCTTTTCACCTCTCGAGACCCCACTTCCGTTACCGATTACTTCGAGTCTTTCCGGCCTATGGACTTCGCCCGTGCCGGAACAGAAGCCACCCGATCTTTCTCTATCCCTGCCGGTCTTGTCTACTCCCGTGCTGGCGAGATCCCTATTTCAGAAGACGAGCCCATCAGCCATACGATTGAGCCTGAGCTGCGCAAACTGGGTGTTCCTACCCGTCTTATCAAGGGCAAGGTTATGCTTGAGTTGACGGACGGGCAAGACGGATTCCCTATTTGCAAGGAGGGAGATGTTCTGGATTCCCGACAAACGACACTGCTGAAGATGTTTGGGGTTGAGACGTCGGAATTCAAGGTTGACGTGAAAGCTCATTGGACTCGGGAAACCGGCAAAGTTGACATCCTGACGAAGGACGAGGGTGGTATGGATGTGGAGTAAATTGTTGGGTTTCTCAAAAGTGGTTTTCGTTTTCTTCCTTTTCACGGAATCCCCTTGGGCATCTCATGGAGTTAGGATAGGCGTTTCTTTCCCTTTATTCACCACCACTATCACTCTCGAGTCTCAGATTCGACGCAACTTCACGAGCGTATGACGGATATATAGAATACTAAACAAAGAATTTCGTCTGTTCATACCTTCGCGCTGGGAAAAAGTAGAGAACAATTGTACCGTTTAACAGTCTACAAAAACTAAATAATTTGTCATTTGAGGCTCATTAAAAAAAAAGAACTATTCCCGTGCTTTACAATCGTACGAAGATCTCTGGCATAGGTTATCGCTGATGAGAAACCTTACCTTATCTTCTTACCTGAAATGCAAATATCCCCCAAACAGTTCCACCTAAAGAAAATATTCACTAAAGTACATACTTACCCCAAAGGCCAGCGGTGCAGATGGGCCATAACAGGTGAAAGGACAAGACAGGAGGGAGAAATAGAAAGTGCAATCGAGGGCTGGAGAAAAGCACAGGGTCGACGAGGGCGACGTTCAAACCATGAGTTTTCTTCCGATGAGAACCTCCAACCTCCGGGAAAGCAACGGATCCTTGGAAACAGAGCTAATGAAATAAGTTCCCCGCGTGGTAATAAACAAATACTTTGCACCCATTTGATTGTGAGCCTGATGGTGTTTTTTTTTCGACTGTTGTAAGTAGGCGGGTCCGAGGTAGCTGCTGGTGTTGGCATTGGCCTTGCGTTGTCTTACCCAGTGCAATGTTGGGGTGGGCGATAAGAGCAAAGAAAGACTGTCAACCAGAAATACCCACCAACAAACCATCATAGCGTGCAATGTTAATGGAAATCCCTGGGATAAGCGGGACGCTTTTAGTAACGCCGCTTAGCACGAGGATCATCGTATGAATCATCTTCATGATACCTCTTTCGTCCTTGGTCCTCCCTACCTCCGTAGCGGTCGCGCTCGCGGTCACGGTCGCGGTAACGATAGCTGTCCCTATCACGGTCACGGCGGTCATCACGATCACGGTCTCGCCTGTCTCGATCTCCATAGCTGTCCCTTGGCCGGATGGGCTCACGATTGCTACCTGTGCCACCGCGCCCTTCGCGGTCACGACCTCCAAATCCTCCACTTCGGCCACCTCCTGGTCCCGATGGAGCATTTGGTGGCGCCTGCCCACCGAATCCGCCCCGGCCTCCTTGGTATCCAACGCCTCCGCGGGGTCCGAATCCACGATCGTTTCGGAATCCTCCTTTGAAACCTCCTCGCCCGCCGTAGCCACCTCGGAAACCTCCGCCATAACCACCGGGTCCAGAAGGTGGGCCAAAACCTCCTGGGCCAATAGGTCGTGAAGGCAGTGCCTTGGTGTAACCACGCCCCCCAAGACCACCACCGAACCTACGAGGCTTCCATCCTTTCACGGTCCGACCACGTTCAACATCCACCAAGACACGTCGGTCTCTGATTCTGATGCCATCTGTTTCCTTGTAGGCCGCTGAATTCGACGAAAAGAAGATCTATATTAGTATGAAATATGACAAACGACGGAATCACGTATTAATAGTACCTTTCATGTCTTTTTCGCGTTCATAAACGATAAATGCGTACCCTCGGTGTGGCTTCTTCGAACCTTTAGGCGTAACGGTATCTTTAACAATGCGAATCTAAAGACAGTCAGCTTTTGCTAATTTCAAAACGTATCCGTAGTGCCGGTACTCTTTCGATAGGACCGAATCGTCCGAACTCTCGCTCGAGATCTTGGTCGGTCACTTCATAGCTTAACCGAGAAACGAAAAGAGTTTTGAATGGATCGCCGCGCGCTTGCCCATCATTGTTGGGGTCAACTATGCAAATCGTTAGCAGAGGTTAATCGAACCCGACATCATCGGACAATCATACAAGACTCGAGGCCTTCGGTCAAATGCTTATTCAACCGCTCCTTCTTCTCCGTCTTTTGGCGCCATTTGCGCTGCAACCAGGTTTCAGCTGGGTTGTATTCGGTCTCCTCTGCAGCCTTTTTCGCGTCGGGAAGGAATTGTGCGATGCCTGAGATTTTGCTCTTCTTGACGTCTTCGGGGGCGCGGTCAATGGGAGTGACCCAACGTAGCGGTGGGCGAGGCTGGAAGAGCGCCAGCAGCGGAGGGGGAAGCTTGTCCGTCATTTTGCCCCAGGTTTATCTCAGTCGAATTTGTAGATGAGTGGTTTAACGACCGAGATAAAGAGGCAAGAGGAAGCTTTGTGAGTCGAGCACCTTTTGCGTAGCTCAATTGTTCCCGAATTTCGCGTTCCCCGTTTGGATACTTTGGCTTAGTTAACCGCTTGGCGCGTTAGGCGGAGTTGCCGCGAGCCAATGACATCGGATGATCACCTCGTGAAAAAGTGCCCATTCAATTGCTGGCGTCGAAGTCAACGAGACCACTATCAACAGAAACCGCAACGATGCCGGTAAAAGGAATTCGAACAGTAGCTGCTGCTAGGGTACGTGAAATCGCCACTTCCTACATATTTGTCCGCCGTAGGGCTCACTCACTAAAACCCTCCACAGAACGGCGTGGGCGCCTTCATCCTGCAGTGCAAGCGCCTTGATTTCCACTACTGCGACTGGGCGGGCAGTTCTCGAGGAATGCTGTATGTTGACCCCTGTGCTTTTATACTGGAAATTATGTTTTCTGATACTGATAATGATAGGGCGTTCTTGAAACACTCCCTCCCGGCTTTCGCGAAAGAAAACCCTCAGATCGAGATCCGAGTTTCACCACGACCTCACAAGCACCCCATTATCAAGGGTCACTATATCAACGGACGTGAGAAGGCGATTTGTGTGCGGAACCTCGAACCTGAACAAGTCTTCCAGAAGGCCAATCTGTTGAAGCAGGCCAGTGGCGAGAAGTTGAAGCGCACCAAGAAGCCCGTTACAAGTATCAACGACAGTGTGCGTGGCATCTGGTCTCCCTACCATGGAGACCTCCGGTCGGTTTGAGTCGGGACTTCTGTTGGTTTTTAGCATCGGTGTTACTCTGCATTTTTCAAGGGATTCTGTTATTATATCCTGAACATTCTCCATGGTTGGTGACCAGTCTGTATTATATTTGTGCATATACCGTTTGAAACAGATTCTTAGACCAAAGGTCTCTGAGCATACGCTTCTATTATTCTCCTTTGAGTAAAGGTTGATATAAGGAACTAATAACCAAAAGTTCTATTCCCGCTGTAACGAGAACGATATGTCCGAAAAATAAATACAATGAGGGTATCGAAACAATGAGAGAAAATGCCAAACCCAACACCAGGCCATGCAGCCGAAAAACATACAGCCCACCTGGAGCCATCATAAATATACTTGAAACATTGCTTTAGGAGCGCTAACAGGCTTCCCACAATCGGCAACTTGACATTTTGCGAATGGCCTTGTCTTTGCGTTTGCTTTTTTCGCCCGAGTTAGAGAACGATTAGTAGCACATTCTCCGCAATAAACCTGTCGTGTGTTAGACATCAACCAACTTGAGGCAGGGTGTGAATACGAACATGTCCACATTGTTTCGCCACCCATATTTGTTGTTTAGTGTCATTGCCTGTTCCAAGCTCTTCATCACAGTTAGGGCAAGTAGCGACATCATCCTCGGCGAGACTCCTTGTGAAGCCTTCTGGCGCCGGGCTCGGGGCTTTATACGAGATTCCTGGCCGCTCCCGTTCAGGTCTGTCTATATCTGGTGGTAATCCCAGTAATTCCCATTCCGCATTATCCAGGTTGATGGTTAGGTCCATCGGTCCACCAGCATCCTCCCCGATCCACAGTGTTTCTAAGTCCCCGCGCGAGAGATGTGATGCTGCCCTCCATGGAACTTCTCGCCGATAGCGGGGGTCATTTGTAGATCTGAACATCTGCGGTAACGGTAGGAGGCGCCAAAAATTAGAGGCCGTGAGACTTTGCGTCCTTGGTGGTGGTGGTGGCGGCGGCCGTGGCGGCCGTACAGTTGAAGAGATAAACTGAACTTCCGGGCTACTTGGAGGATCTGGCTCCTGCTCCTCTTCCTCGTCTTCTAAGTTGACGACGTCTGCCATTATATCTCGTCCAAATCGAGGCGGCCGAGGTTGTCGCCTTCTGCTTTCAGGAATTTGCCGCCTGGGAAGCTCTGGAGAATCCGGTTCATTCGTTAAATCAATAACCTCCGAATCTTCTTCTGGCGGTACAGAAGGCCCCGTTGCGGGCCGACGGAAATCGAGGCCATCGCCAGCGTAGCGGGCTGGAGGCATGGCTAGTGGAGGGAGGGTAGGGCCAGGTGTTGAAGTTGAGTGGGTTGTTGAGGGTTCTTGACGGGGTCGCTGCAACACAAAGATCTCAGCAAACTTGCGGCTAAAGTCAAGGGTGTTGGGAACAGGGCACGGATATAAGAAAACCCCGCATCGAGAGGGGAATGAGGAATACCGACCTTTCTTCGCCGAGCGATAAACTGAACCCCGGAATCGCTATTCATGGTAGAGTGGCGATTGCTTGTAGAGTATTTAGGGTGGGAAGGAGGGAAGTAGAGGCGCAGAAACAGTTGGAACAAAGGAAAAGAGAAAGAAACGGTGAGAGGACCTTGAAAGATTGGAGATTGGAGAGTTGTAGTCGTGAAGCCTCAAAGGCGGTCATGGTGGAGGTCATTCGATTGCTTAGTTATGGCGAGCCAGCCAGTTCCGTGAGGCAGTCGGTGACGCTCAGTGTCCGAGTCCATCGTAAAAACAGCGCCTCCTGCGCTTAAATGATTTGAATGACGCCAAGGATGGTCATAAATTTCTCAATTTAGTTAAGAATTGCTGGTTCTCAGCTGATCAGCCCATTCAAGGATGAAGAGGAAGTGAGAAGTATAACAAGCTAACTGTGCATCACGCTACTGTCCTTTTGTCCTTTATTCTCTTTGCTATATCCCTTGCAGAACACCTAAAAGTACAAAAATAGAGCCACGAAGAAATGCATTAACAAAGAGCTTCCCCGCTACTTTCAAGGTATCAGATATCATTACTGCGCTGTCAAGACCGTGATTCCGCCATCAGTATTCAGCGCCACAATGCTTTGAGCAGCAGAGCCCCAGACCACGGCTGCTGCAGGCACGGCACTGCGCAAGGGCTCTGACCAGGCCTTCGCGGCCTTAGAGTACTGCTGGACGGTTAGCCCGCTAGGGCCACCAGTGAGTAGGAATTGTCCTGTGTAATCCCAGTGGATTGATTCGACCTGACTGCCCGTTTCGAGAACCTTGACTTCCTTGGAGCTACGTAGATCCCAGATAGAAACCATGGTAGAGTTCGCTGTCGCCGCGGCTAGGAAGGTTCCGTTTTCTGAGAAGAAAACCTGCTTCACGGGACCGCTGAGGTCGTAGTTTGCGGCCACAGCGCCCGTTTTGATATCATATATCTTTATCTGACCGTCCGCACCACCAGCGGCGAGGAGGTGGCCGTCTGGGTGGAACTGCACCGAGAGAAGGGCTACAACGGTGGAAAGTATTAGCTAATGGTCCAGATACTGCGGGTTTAGTGGGGGATGCTTACATGCGTCGCTGAAATTCTGCATGATGACCGCGTTTGTAGTCAGATCATACAGCACGTAGCTCTTGTCTGCTCCAACGGATGCAACTATATCGCCGGTCGCATGCAAAGCGAGGCTCGTGGCTGTACCGGCATGGGAGTTGAATCTTGCAGCCTCCTTGTTTCCCTCGAAGACCTGCACAGACCCCGTAGAGGAGGCGACAACCGCTTTTTCACCAGCCCAAATTGCATCAGTTACCGGGCCATTTATCTGAAGAGTCTGAACAATCTGTTTCTGAGCCAGGGAGAAAACGCCAACAACGCCCTCAGCAGTCTCGACAAGGGCCGAATCGCCGGACGAGTTAATCGATAACGTTTTTCCACCGGGGTAAAAGGATTCGGTGCTCTCGCTCGGCTTATAGGCGGAAATGGATTCGCTGGTCGCCCATCCTTCAGGAACAGGACGTTTGCGTCGAGACTTAGAGAGCCTGCCCAAAGTCAGTTGAACAATCCCATATTTAGGAAGCTTATATGTGAACAAATTGGGTAGACATACGATGCCTGCGTGCCCTCCACTCGCGCCAGGACCTCCCCAGGCAGTCCAGCAGAGTCCACCTGCATGGCATCACCAGCCCCAGAAGCCCTTGCACCGACAGTGACCTTTGATAGCGCGTCGCGAGCCTCATCTCTTTCTTGGGTCAACCGCGCAATCACTCGCACAGCTGCATCATGTTGATATAGCGCAGCACTCAGCTCCTGTCGCGTTTGAGCTAGGGTCTGGCGCAGTGTGTATGTTTCCAAAGCAAGAGCATCCCATTCCTCCTGAAACACGCTGAGCAACGAGGGAATCGAAGTGAGTGTGGGAGGTCGGGGTCGGACAACGCGCTGGGTCTTGACCTCAATGAGTTCGTCTGTAGAAAGCTCATCCCCGGTCACCGGATCCTTTCCATTCTCGGCGATGTAAGCCTCGACGAGACGTTTCTCAAAGACGCTGCCTATTCAAGAGTCAGCGGTCGAAGGTGGTGGGTGTCTGGAAGTCTGCAAACCTACCGCTCTTAGGCGAGACTACAGGCTCTTGCGGTGCCTCTCCCGAAACTGTCGCAATGGTTGTTAATAAATGCTCAAAATGGAGGTGGTCTTGTTTCTAGCTTACTTGCGCACAACATGATGTGTAGACCGGTTGTTTGATGGAGAAGACAGTCTGAGAAGGTGAAGCTGCGGCTCCTTGGACTTTTCGACTGTCGCTGAATTCGGACTAGTGTCACCGCCGCCGCTCTGCGGATCGGAGATTGCTTGGCGGCCAGCACCCAGCAACTGCCATCGACTGATGACGCTGTGGGCGACTCTGAACAACAAATGTACCTTGGCTCGATGGCTTGAGGCGCTTGTATAATCTATCGCTCACCGTCACACAGCGTCTCAACTGATATGTGCATTCCCTAGACTGTGGAAAGCATCACCGAGCATAATCTCTCGGGGAATTTGATACGCTGAAGCATGAGGAACGGCTTTGTTCTCTTGCAATTTTCCGTCCAGCGTATCGTAGATACTCTCTAATGCCCCTGAGCATCGGCCACTCGGTTATTACTCGATCAGGCCATGTCATACAACGCGAAAAATCTCGCCTATGGTAAGACCCCTTCCCCATTCGCAGGGTCCTCCTTTAACACCGGCTCTAGACGCGAAGGAGCCTGCATTTCTGCAGCGACTAAAGGGCCAATACGGAAATACCTCTGGTGGCCTAGAGCGCCCAATATCACAACGACCTCGCCGAGTACGAGACGATAACGAGGATGACGGACCTACATATGTCGATGCGGAGAGCAACGAGGTGATAACCAAGGAGGACTACGAGGCCATGGTGAATGGCGGTGGCGACCAAGAATCTGAACAGCCTGAAAATGGTGTGAAGGACAAGGACGCCGCTGCCGAGGATGCTGGAAACTCCAAGAAGACAGAAGGATCAACATCAAAGCAAAACATGGCAGAGATTGGAGGGCCTCGAAAGCGAAAGCAAGCAAAGGTCGTTGGAGATGAGGATGAAGCTCAAGAGCCTAAAAGCGAGCCAGTGCGGTTAAAAGACCCAGGGCCTCGGAAGCCAAAACAGAAAAAGAAGAAAATAAAGCTCTCGTTTGAGGAGTAATCTAAGCAAACCATTGCCTTTGGCATATCGCATCTCAGTACTGTACGTAGGGGCGCTACCAAAGCTGCCAATAGCTACATAGATTCTCCCAAGACTTTGTAGCGACAACCCCACCCGCCACAGTAGAAAAGACGTAAGCTATATAACAGATGACTCATTTTGACTCTTCATGAGCCAAATGATTTATCAAAAACTGGGGCTATGAGCGGAGTGAAGTCATATTTGACTAAAACAATAGTTCTAAGAGAGTAGTTGTGGTGAAATATTTTTCCCAGCACAGTTCCGCAATTCACGGAACACCAAGAGCGAAATCCTCACGCGACAAGCCGCCTTGGACAGGAAAATCCTCAGATCTCGGTCGCGGTAGCAGCGCCATCCTCCGAAAATGCCTGTTGTCAGCGTCGAAGATCTCGTCCGTCTGCAGCGGAAGCCAGACGATATTCGAAATGTTCGTTGCCCCTCCATCATCTTTTCATCCCACTTCGATGCGAAAGCGGGTGACGTTCTAGCTTGCCAGACTAACCATGTTCTCCAGATATGTATTCTAGCACACGTTGTACGTTGAGTATAAGACAGATCTCCCATTTAGATATCGTTTGAATTAATCTAATCTTTTGTTTGATTTCAGGATCATGGAAAGACATCATTGACAGACAGCCTTATCGCGACGAATGGCATCATCTCGCCCAAGCTGGCGGGCAAGATCCGCTATCTGGACTCGCGTCCAGATGAGCAGTTGCGCGGGATCACCATGGAGTCCTCTGCGATTTCACTCTTCTTTTCCATGATGCGTCGCTCTGCGCCGGACGCCCAGCCAGAGGCGAAAGAGTACCTCATCAACTTGATTGACTCTCCCGGGCACATCGATTTTAGCAGCGAGGTATCGACAGCTTCCCGCCTCTGCGATGGGGCGGTGGTCCTGGTTGATGCCGTAGAGGGCGTCTGCAGCCAGACAGTAACCGTTCTGCGCCAAACCTGGGTTGAACAACTAAAGCCGATTCTAGTCATCAATAAGATGGACCGACTAGTCACTGAATTACAGATGACCCCGGCAGAGGCTTATTCACATCTGAGCAGACTCCTAGAGCAGGTAAATGCTGTGATTGGTAGCTTTTACCAGGGTGAACGTATGGAAGAAGATCTTCAGTGGCGAGAACGTATGGAAGAGCGTGTCAGTGCCGCAAACCAGCAGAAGCAAACACAAGATGGGGAATCCGTCGAGGGGATCCTTGATGGCGCACAATTCGAGGAACGTGATGATGAAGACCTATACTTCGCACCTGAGAAAAACAACGTTATTTTCTGCAGCGCTGTCGACGGCTGGGCGTTCACTGTTCGACAATTTGCGGCAATTTATGAGAAAAAGCTCGGAATCAAGAGGTCTGTTCTCGAAAAAGTTCTTTGGGGAGATTACTATCTTGATCCCAAGACTAAAAGAGTTCTGGGTCAGAAGCACTTGAAGGGACGGGCTTTGAAGCCCATGTTTGTCCAGCTGGTGCTGGATAGCGTCTGGGCTGCGTACGAGGCCACCACCGGCGGTGGTAAAGGAAAAGGGTATGACAAACCTGCGTTTTTCGCTTTTTATATACTAACTGTATTGCAGCGACCCTGCATTGCTAGAGAAGATCACAAAGTCCTTGAATATCAACATCCCGCCATACATTCTACGTTCTCGCGATCCTAAAAACATCATGACCACCTTGTTCTCGCAGTGGTTACCACTCTCTACAGCACTCTTAGTCTCAGTCATCGAATACTTACCAAGTCCCCGGGCAGCCCAAGCCTCTCGATTACCGCCAATGATCGAGGAGTCACCAGGATCAAAGCTCGTGGATACAAAGATAAAAGACGCAATGATTCAATTCAAGACCGGCTCCGATGAACCGGTTGTAGCTTATGTTAGCAAGATGGCTGCCATTCCAGAAAGCGAACTGCTATCAAGCAAGAAGACATCCGCAACAACTATGTCCGCCGATGAAGCCAGAGAAATAGCCCGGAGAAAGAGAGAAGAGATCGCCAAAATGCAAGCAGAAGCCGCTAGCAACAACCAAGACGACGATTTCTCTCGAGTAACTTCCGCATTCGAGCGAGTCACAGTAGACGATACTGGTGAAGAGGGTGAGCAAGAGCAGAAAGAAGACCCTGAACATCTAATCGGGTTTGCACGCCTCTACTCTGGAACACTTTCAGTCGGCGATTCTATCTATGTCCTACCACCCAAGTTTTCGCCTGAAAACGCCCACGCAAGCCCGGAGCCGCAAAAGGTGATTGTGACAGACCTCTATCTGCTCATGGGAAGAAGCCTCGAGCCCCTCAAATCCGTTCCTGCGGGCGTCGTCTTTGGAATCGGAGGTCTCGCCGGCCACATCTTGAAGACGGGCACCCTGTGTTCACAACTTGATGGAAGTATCAACTTAGCTGGTGTCTCGCTGGATACCCCACCGATCGTGCGAGTGGCCCTCGAGCCTGTGAACCCATCTGATCTTAGCAAGATGGTCACAGGACTGCGTTTACTCGAACAGAGCGACCCATGCGCCTTATACGAAGTTCTTCCAAACGGAGAACATGTGATCCTGACCGCAGGAGAACTGCATCTCGAGCGCTGCTTGAAGGATCTCCGTGAACGGTTCGCGAAATGCGAGATCCAAACCGGCCAGACCATTGTGCCATACCGAGAGACCATTGTCAACGCCCCCGAAATGGCGCCACCCAAAAACCCAGAGCTAGGAAGAGGAGGGATCCTGACTGTCTCTGGGTCGAAACAGTTGACTGTTCGGTTACGGGTCGTCCCTCTGCCGGAAGTCGTCACGGAATTCTTTACCAAACATGTTGGAACAATCAAGCGGTTGCAGTCTGAGAAGCGAACCACCAAGGCGGAGGGCGAACCTGATAGTACGCAACAGGACGAGGCCACCGATGCCGCAGGCGAGGCAAGAGACGTCACCCTTCTCTCTCTCTCGGATTTCAAGAAAGAACTAAACAAAACCTTCGAAGAAGTCAAGGAAGACAAGGAACTATGGAAGGACGTCGTCGAGAGGGTCATAGCCTTCGGTCCCCGGCGAATAGGCCCTAACATCCTCGTCGATGCAACAGCAGTCAACACATGCGAGAAATTGTATGCACCCATTCCCCTTCCCGTCTACCCATATCTAAATACCAGACACATTCATTAACAAACGATGCAGCCTCCTCGACGACCACAAACAACAACCGAGCATTCTCCCCGAAACCGCCAGCCGCGACGCTCTCACCGTCCGCGACTTCTGCGACAAAATCACCTACGCTTTCCAGCTCGCCATGGGCCAAGGTCCACTATGTCAAGAACCCATCCAAGGAACAGCTGTCTTCCTCGAGGAGATCCAAATCAACGCCTCGGAAGACGAGATCGATATGGGCCGTCTCACTGGTGAGACGATCCGTCTCGTCCGCGAAAGTATCTCCCAAGGTTTCTTGGATTGGAGCCCCCGGGTTATGCTTGCTATGTATAGTTGCGAGATTCAGGCGTCTAGTAAGCTTACCCTTCGCTTTGCATACCCCCAATCATATAGTATTGTATGTACTAACCAATCCACTTCAGCTGAGGTGCTCGGCCGCGTCTACGGCGTAATAACCCGACGTCGAGGTCGCATTCTCTCGGAAACAATGAAAGAAGGAACTCCCTTCTTCACAATCCTCTCTCTCCTCCCAGTGGCGGAATCCTTCGGATTCGCTGAAGAAATCCGTAAGCGGACATCCGGCGCTGCGCAGCCGCAACTTATTTTCGCGGGTTTCGAGGCTCTCGACCAAGATCCTTTCTGGGTTCCGGCTACAGAAGAGGAGTTGGAGGATTTGGGCGAGCTTGCGGATCGGGAGAATGTGGCGAAGATGTATGTTGATGCTGTTAGGGCGAGGAAGGGACTGTTTGTTCAGGGGAGGAAGTTGATTGATGCGGAGAAGCAGAAGACGTTGAAGAAGTAGATACTTAGGTATATAAAAAAGGGTACATAACGTGTTGTTTCATATGATTTATTAAAAGGCTTATTGAAGGGAACACCACCCTGTTTAGCTGGAGGCGTGGATTGTATATATTTGTAGTTTATGAGAGCCACTCGGCTTGGCTTAAATACTGGCAAGTGAGAAGCCTCGCGACGAACTCTTTTTACCCCAGTAACAGCATAGATCGATTAGTATTCAAATGTCAAAGCTATGGATATCGGAGCTTTATATATTATACACGGCCGCAAGTTGGACGGAATTTGTCCTCTAATATATGGAAAATGATTTCATTGGGTATCTAATATATCTGGCTCACATTCATGTATGATACCAGTTGCTCATGGTTACTGCCACAAAGAAATACTGCTGCTTCGGTGCAGTAGTGTCGATAACGTCCTAGATTCGAGTTGTTTCTGGGTTTCTCAACTCCAGATATGCGCAGGCATAGCTCCGAAGGCCATGCCATAAAGATTATCGGCTGGCCAACGTGGACGTTCGGTGACTCGGGTTGCCATCGGACAAGATGGGCTCGGCCAAATGGCCGGACTCTGGTTTGCAGTTCGAGATTTTGAGTCGTCTCGCGATTCTGTACCTCAAAAAGGCCTTGCCACCTTCCTCTGCTCTGCACCTCCCGTAACAGGGTCTCTCATCTCCTTCCAACTAACAGGGAACATCATGTTACCTGCTTCGCTGCGAGCCATGACAACACCGAGGTCATTTCTTGCAGTGGTAAGATAATAGAAGCTCTGGTCGCCGAGCGAAATCACCGTCCCGCGAACAATATCTCCAACCCGGAACATCTCATCCATAACAACCCGATCCTTTTCGACGGCGCGCACGTCCTCCTTCCGGATAAGTGCCTGGAATCGGAGCTCGTCCGAGCTACTGTGGTTCTCGGGGTTTGCGGCGGAGGACAGTATCGATTCGATGTTGTCGTTGTCTGACGCCGATTGTGAGGGGTTCAATGCTTGGGAGCTCTTGGATTCGTCTAAGACGACGAGTATTGAGACTGTAGCTTGTCGTTTCTGAACGCGGGTTACACGGGCAAGGACGACCGAATCCACGGCTGGAAGTGTGTTGTACTTGGGTTTTGGGGTTGAGGCTGTGGATTGTGCAGATACGGAAGGTGTGGATGTGTCCGTCGACGCTGTCGCCTTCTTGAACGTTCTCGAGACGCTGAGTACTGACTTTGCTTGAGACTTTGGCTCTGTCTGATCAACAAAGACCGGTCCGGCGATCGATGCATAGATGAGGGAGTGGTGAACATGGGTCCCAGGGCCAGCGGAGAAAGTCGCCGCCGCTCCTAGGCGCTGACCCGGGATAGCCAGAGACGGTAGGGAGTTTGCCATCTCCGCAATCAAGGCGAACAAAGTAATAATAATGAGTGTCGGGGAAAAGGTGTGCGACTTCACTCATCTGGAGCTAGAAGGTCTTTTTACAAGTGGATCAGTCCGGAACCAGAGTTTACCCGAGTCCGCAACAACCAGTGAAGTATATACAGAGCTAAAACAGCTCAACCCGTACAGCAAGACAAAAGATAGAGAGTTTATGAATGGATATACAGTATATCTAAGCTAGCACTTCGACTAGGGGATGACGCTGCATCTGGCCCATCCGACTACAATATTATCCACAGATACAGCCACGTCATCACAACAAAATCCGAACATGAATAATCAGTTCCACGAGGAGGGAAAAAGTAAAAGAAACAGATCCTGTCACTCCGAATGCTCGCTGAAGAAAATGAAGCGACACCAAATAAAATGCCTCTTAACACCCATAACATAAAGTCAACAATGTATATCAAGGCAAAAAAGGTCAGAAAAAGTTGAGGAATAGAAGAGGATATCAGAATGAAAAGGCGCCCTGCGAGAGAAGCAAGATGCAAAGAGAAGTCAAAGAAAACCAGACTAGGTTTCGGTGTTAACCTTCTACCAGAGTCTGTTTAGGCCCGCCTCCGAGAAACTCGAGGCATCGCCGCGCCAACGCGATAACCTCGGCTTCGCCGTCCTCCGTATCTTCTTCATCGGACTCAATGTTCTTGTCAGATATTGACTTGACCATATGAACAAGGTCCTCTGAGCTGCCAATATAACCAAGAAGACGCTGGTCCTCAGACTCCAGGAGTTGAAGAAGCGTCCAAATGGCGATATGCTGGAAAGTAGGGTCTCCGCTAGCAAGGAATCGCTTTAGGTAGCCGTAGATACCACCATTGGGATCCGCCCAGTCTCGAACAAAGATAGTGTAGTCTCCAACTATCGATGCGTCAGCTTCCAGATATACGGTTCTAAGAATGGCGAGGATAGGGGTTAGAACATACCTTTGGATGATAGATTGCCTAGCGCGGCAGCGCTGTTTCCTTGAACTTCAATGCTGTCAGACTCCGTCAAAGGAATCAACACATCGAAGACACCAAGGCTGAGAAGATGGGGTTTCAGTTCATCGCTAAGGGCCAGGACGGCTATAGCAGCAGTCATTTCAGACTGAACACTTATGGGGACGCGAAGGACAAGATCTTTACACTTCTGGACCGCACCAGCTTGAAGTACAAGCTCCTTGTTGCGATCCGAGCTAGCGGCAAGATTCCGAAGTGTAGAGATGGCGTGACATTGAATTTCTTCATTATCTGTCGATCCTAAAAGATCGACAAGCGGCTTAAGGAACCCGGCGTCGATAATAGGCGATTCATTGAGAGGGTGAATGGAGATATTACGAATGCAGGCAACTGCGGAGAGAATAAGGGGAAGATAGGATGACTGTAAGAGGCGGAGTAGAGGAGGCAACCCTTTGGCGCGAACAATCTCAAGCTGGTACTTTTCGTCGGATGCAAGATTTCGAAGAGCTAGAGCAGCCTGGCACTGTACTTTCGGGGTAGATGAGTCCATTAAATACACGAGCGACTGGACCAATCGTGACTCGGTTTGGGCAAGTCGTTTGCGATTTGACGAATCAACTGCGATGTTACTAAGGGCTGTCGTGCAATAGTATTGGACATCGACGTCGGAGGAAGAAAGCAGTTGAACAAGGACCGGGATCGCACCGGCATTGACAAGCTGTTGCCGGTTGTCGTCTAGAATAGCAAGTCAGAAGGAATTCGAGACAACAGTTTACGACGGGGCAAAACGCATACCTGAATGTGTCATGTTCAGAAGGGCCCCTGTCGCATTGCGCTGTACACGCATGTCCTTCGATTTCGCGAGGCGAATTAGTGGCCCCAGGGCGCCGGACCGGGCAATCTTAGCCTTGTTTTCTTCATGGGTAGCAAGGTTAGTAATACAGCCGACTGCATTACACTGAACCTCAACGTTAGGCGACATCATTTGCTTTATTAACGGGGTAAGCCCTCCCAGGGTAACGATCAACACCTTGTTATCCGCTGGTTTCAGTCAGCATACGTCGGTGAGGGAAAAGCAAGGTGACTTGAACCGACCATTCACCGCAAGGTTACCAAGAGCCGCACTTGCAGCTCGTTGAACCTCGATATCAGAACTCTGTAGTAAGAAAAGAATTGGTTCGAGAGTGTCCCGGTCGACTTCACGCACATCTGGGTTTGGCTCAACGTTAGCTGCCATAATGCTTATCATTCCACCATATTGACACCCACCTCGTTCTGTGATCTCAGCGAATGTTAAACTGGCGCTTCGTTGGAGGTCGACATTTTCAGAGTAGACTAGCGTGCTCAGCGCACGAAGAGGTTCGCCAGAGAAGAAGTCCGTTTCAGCTCTCTGTTCATCACATAGCGTTAGCAACGACAACCGGCGCGAAATAAGCGGAAGATAGAGCAAAAGTCTCCTCATCCAAAGGAATACCTGGACCTACATTTTCAAGGTAGCCTAGCAGATCAGATACAGCTTCTCGTTCATTGTCCGCCAACGTTGTGTCATAAATTCCTTCTCTTGATCGACCGCCGAAAGGACCAAGGCAGGCTCCAAGACAAGCGGTGATTCGGCAATATCGGTCGACTGTCGACAGGCCAGAGAGACACGCATTCGCGATTCCGGCCATGGCTTCAGAGCCGGGGAGCCAATAGGATAGAAATCAGGCCCGCGAGCGTCGAGTGTCAAAGAGTGAGATTAGGTTGAACGGCAGTCACCGCGAACGCAGAAAGCGTACACCGGGGAGCTTGGTTGAAGCTGCTCCTTCCCTGTTAGGTATATCTCTAGCCGCAGCCTCGGATAAGCTGTTTCGCAGATACTGTTTTATCGACAATAGAATCGAGGCCGACCGCAAGAGGAAGGGTTGGGTGGAAAGAGAGGTTGGGGTTCGGAGGCAGGTTGGACGGGGACCTAGCTCTGCATATAGGAGGAGCTAAAGCTTGACTAAAAAAAACAAAGCGACGTCGGGCGGTGGAAAGAGGGAGGATGTAGCAATCACGACCGGTCGCCCCGAAAGCTAGCTATTCGCAAGAAGTCGGCTCTGATCCCCAAGGCCCTGCACAGGTGAATGAAGGCAATGATGGAAGAGGGGGGGAGAGAAGGGTGAAGATGGAGTTAGTGAATGACCAAGCGGGTTTAGTTTAGTATGGGCTCTCCAGCTCTGGCGGCTGGTGACCGCGAGCGAATGACGGCGCATATATCTGAAGCAGCCCGGAAGCTCCCACCCACCTCCACTACATTATCGCTTCTTCCAGCTTTCTGAATAGTTTCATGTTAGGTCTTCTGTGAATCGTACTATTAATTAAGATGGCATATTCAAATAATATATTACTTGCGTATACTGATCGACCTTATAATATCTATCGACCCTGTTACACTGCTGTCGTCCATCGAGTCACCTGTCCGATAGATAGCGTGCGGACGGGAGCAGGAGCACTAGGAGATATGATATGGACAAGCGAAGATTCACACCCGGTTTTGGTCATACCTACGGGGTACAAGGTACTTGGCCGAACACCGACTCACCGAGTCGCCCACGCTTACGAAGCCCGTCGATTCTAGCAGCTGTCATGATAAGATATCGATCTTCCTTGCATATCTTGCGCCTTAACCATAGGCGGCGAATCTCTTCGCATGATGCGCCCTGGGATTGGGGCCGACTAAACGAAGTACCTGGAAAGTAACTCCGTACCACTACCGGGAGATCTGCCTCTGGGTTTGTCGAATTACATGTATGCTGGAGAGCGGATGACCAACCCGGTCGTCAATAGGGAGCTTCGTTATATGGGACCCTGGCAGATCGCTTTGCTGCGTCTTGCCTACCCCAGGTATTAATATATCTCATAAGACGTTCATCCCTGTCATCATCCTGAGCTACATCGTAAGTTGAAACACAGCAGTATCACCTAAGACCAAATTGGACTGGTGTGCTTGGCCGCGCTGACAGGAACTACGAAATCCGAGGGACAGGCCTGGTCGTTGAGAGAACACTGAAGACAAGAGCATCCTCGTTTCGTCAACACGTTATCTAGAGTATATTAGCGCTGCCCTTCTATACGGGTTGCCACAGACCACGTGAGACAGAGAGCATAACGTCACATGCGGAGATGCGCTCATGACCTTGATGCCATCGTGGATCTCTGCAACGCCCGTTGAAGGAGCGCAGCGCTGTGAGAGGCTCGCCACAGTTTGGCTCCAGGCCTTAACCCATCGGCCCCGCACTCTAAGCCCACTAGCGACCGACTAACAGGATGCCCATCAAAGCACACCTTGCCATCCTAGATCGCAGTGGCAATGATAGCCGTCTTTGTCAATGCGTAGTAGGACATTGGATAGAGATGAATATAGACCACTGGGCCGTAAGAGGGGTCCATGTTTGTTGTCGTCAGAAATAGATACCCCGAGCCGAATAGCGGGACATTTGCGAATCTGGCTGTAAGGTTTGAGCCAACTCTGGTCCCTGACCTCGCAATAATAATTCGACTGGTGCAACTGCAGACTCGGGCTATTAGACAACGCTGCGATGCGCAGGTGCTGCTGCTGACTGCATTCCACAGGCGTTCGGCGTAAATATGGTGCGAGCCTCCAGCTGGCATGATCGATACCCACTAAGAATGGAGTGTTTCGTGTGTACAGGATTGACCAAGTAATTGGAATACGTACCAGGACAGCCCTCCGGTCGTGGACATGGACGGCATTCCACTCGCCCCCACTGCCCAGGCTCTGCAGGCCGCTGATTGCTGAAGTGAAGATCGCCTGCCATCTGTCTGGCAGGGTCATACATAATAAGAACATGGGCTCATGTCCCAACTCCTCTTGCTTTCCCTTTGTCTCTGCATCTCCCACTTGCATTCCAGAGCCTTGACTCTACCACTACCCATTGGAACGTGATCTTTGAAATTTGACGCCCCTCGCCCAGCCTCTGCCTCTGGTTGAATTGCTCGCACACGATCAGCCAAGTCTCGCTCTCCGAACGTGCGCTATATGCAACCCAGCACATAGACTCAGAGCAATTCGCCGATCCCCTCGAGAAAGAAAGAACCACAATTCCCAGTTACCTCGCACCAGCGGCTTTGTTCCTTGCGGTTGACATTTATTTGGCGTATTCCTTTCTCTCCTGTCCTATTCTTCGCCAGTCCCGTCGTTGCCAGCCTTTGCCCGCCACGGACAACGTACTAAAAAGGCAGACCCGCGCCCAATGATGGCAGCGTCAGTGTCCGCCTCCACCTCGATTGCCAGCCCCCTTCACGTTTCATCCGATTCCCGTTTGGGGCCTCTTCGACGCTTGAGCCAACTGCGTGCGTATACGCAAACTCATTTTTCCTCTCCCCACTCTTCTGCCACTCCCTCAGATTCTTCCACGCCCAACGCCCAGCAGCGCCCTCGTCGTCACAGCATCAGCGGCCGCCGACTGTCGTGGTTTTCCCCTCACACTACCACGCGCTCCGACTCCGCTCAGCCGACCGCCGCGGCCGCGAGTCCATGCCCGGAGCCTCGTGCTGCGCCCGCCACTTCGAATCGCCATAGTGCGATTTTAGTCCCAGGTTCTCGTGGTCTCGAAATAGACCAGCGATCTCATAACCAGTCCCCTGAGTCTTCCAGTTCGATTTCCTCGACAGATTCTTCGAGGCGACCGGCACGCGAAGCCATGGCTAGGCTGCGACCTTCGCTCCCAAATCATCAGGACTCTCGAAGCGAGCAAGCTTCGAGTGCGCCGGCGCAGACTTCTGCGCCTCCTAGCACAACGCTCGACTCCCCTGACCCGGTCATCGCTGACAGCGCCTCGCCCGGCTCAAAATCGAAAAAAGGAGCAACGATCCGTTTTTTCCCTCACCAGGACCCAAGTCAGAGCTCACGTCCGTCGTTACCTTTTATTCCCGTCTCGCGCACTCTCCCATCCGACACTTCTAGCATTCGCGTTGGCCGATACTCCGAGCGAGATGGGCTTCCTCTTCCAAATCCCAGCGAGCCATCGGACGCCCCTGTGGGGTTCAAGTCGAAAGTCGTGAGCCGGAAACACTGCGAATTTATATACATGAATGGACAGTGGCATATAAAAGATGTAGGCAGTTCGTCTGGGACTTTTTTGAACCACATGAGATTGAGCCAACCCAATATGCCGTCACGAATGTACACCATCAAAGATGGAGACATCGTACAGCTTGGTATCGACTTTCGCGGGGGCGAGGAAATGATTTTCCGCTGTGTTCGTATCAGGATTGAGTGCAACAGATCCTGGCAGCAGCAGCCGAATGAATTCAAGTACGCTCCTAACCTCGCATCCTTTCCGCGCGCTGGAGTTTAGGCTAACCCATACTTCAGCAAAAACACCGAGAGTCTGATCAAGAACTTGGGGAAGGGTGAGACTGCTGATTATTCTGGTTGTCGGGAATGTTCTATTTGCTTAGGATCGGTCCTGGTAAGTCTATACTACGCTTTCGGGCGTTTGAGAGTATACAGAACTAACCGCGGTTACAGAGGCCCTATCAGTGCCTATTTATGGCCGCCTGTGCTCATGTGTGGCATTACAAATGCGTCAGCCGCTTAATACATACCCCAGACTATCCTATGTTCCAATGCCCGAATTGTCGGGCATATACAGATCTGAGTGCCGAGGTTGACGACACCAACGATTATGAGGCTGAAAGCACCGACAAGCAGGCACCAGAAGACCAACGAGAACCAGCGGAGGAGATACGGTCTGCGACGTGCTCTCCTCAACTAGACACAAGTTGCACTTCTAGTGACTCGCGCACCAGCGAAGAAGGCGTGGTCCCTGAATTACCAACCAGCACCCTCTCCGATAACGTTGAAAACATGCGTCTAACGGACAACAATCCGTCAGAGCTCCCTGAGGCTTCCATAACATCTGCGCCAAGTACCGGCACCGATGTTCCTGGCTGGCAGTCCCTGGCACGAGTTCCTACTGCAGTCCCGCCTAGACAGGCTATACTACGGGTGGATACCCCTGTGCGCTCCGAGTCGTCAGATGAAAACCCGTTGACACCTCGGAACGACTCCGGACCCTTGGCCTTTGATGGTCGCGCTGGGATGTCATCTACGGATGCGCACTAAAACCTTTACCGCTATCTCTCTATGTGGTCGAAACTTCCGCATACCAACTTCTACCTTCAATTTGCATGGCAGCACCGAAAGACATTGCATTTATATTTATTCATACGTGCTGTGTGGCGTTGTTGCACATCAGCTATTTCCATCCCTCTGATTGCATTTCCTGGCATTTAAGCATTGCGATATTTTCTTACATCACCTTTAATCAGGATTATACCCCTTTACAGCTTCGCTTACACTATTTTCACTCGCTGAAATCCACCGGTACTTCGATGGTTTCTTTTCCTTTTCCTGAACTTCATTTCGATTGACTCGGCCCGGGTTCGAATTCTGCATAGCCATCCCTATTATGCCTTCTGCATTGGGGTTTCCATTGGATTTAATAGGATTGGCGCGATGTTACGGGGTCGGATATTTCAAGTCGATGGATCATTCTTTACCCATCCTTCCTGGGCGTCTACTATTTTCTTTCATAACCATACTCTACTGACCGAATGCCACAATGTATATGATAGACATTTTGATCTCGTCTACGAGTGCAGATTCGGAATCAATATTACATGTGAACTATAACCAGTCCCAAAATAGCCCCTCATTAGGTAGTCTCACGGTGGCAAACACCTTGTCTATCAACCCCGCCCACAGCGCCACTTCAATTCATACCAAGACACCAAGGAAGCTCGAGAGACACCCTCCAATCCACATCCAGGAGGCCCGATCGACAGATTGCGGAGACCTACCCCGCGTCTTGAGCGTGGTTCAGGAGTCGTGCTTCATACGCCAGGATGCGTCGTGGCTGCACAACATATGCTCTGATTCGTCGTCTGCTATGCACCAAGCAAGCATGAAATTGATGTTCACTTCGAGTCATTTCCAACGGGTATCACAACGAAGCTGTATATTAAGCTAGTAATGGGCTACTCTTAGTCCTGTGGAGCTAATACCTAGCTCCCCACCTTTATTCAGGTCGTTGAAAGAGCTTTGATACCGCCCTTATTGACCGCTACGCACCTTCTCTCTCCTCCTCTACACCCTCCTCCTTTTAGCTATCTCAGTAAGAAATGAGGTTGAACTTCAGCGAACTGCCGACCCCGACTTTAAGTCGCCAGAACACATCCGTCCCTCCTCGTCATCACTACCGTGCAAGCACACACCCGCATCTTCTATCGTCGCGTCATAAGCCGAGAAGGTGAGCTACTTCGGACAACTATTATCGAGAGGGCAGTTTGAAAGTAACAGGATATAAATATACGATGTAGATGGCCATTGGTCTTCCGCTTCATCAAAGGCGCAATCCATGGCGCGATCCTAGTTTACGTCCTTTTCCACGCGGCGTTCACAGCTTTCGTCGTTTGCCTCGATCGATATGTTTTTGATTCGGTTGGGTTGCCGAATACTATCGTGAGTTCCAATCTCACCCAAACTCAGCCATCCTGAGTGCCAGCACTAATAGACACCGAAAGATCCCATCCCTCTCCATCGTCGTCGGCCTGATGCTCGTCTTCCGCAACCAAACCTCTTACAACCGTTTCTGGGACGGCCGGAACGGAATGACAGCCCTGCACACCACAATCCGGAACCTCGTCCGCACAATCCTCACAAACGGCTACAATACCGCCCATCCGCCCACAGGCGCTGAGCGCGCTGATATCGAGCGCACGGTGCGCATCCTCATGGCCATCCCGTTCGCTGTGAAGAACCATCTTCGCGCGGAGTGGGGGGCGGCCTTTGCGTTTGGTGGTCTTCCTGGTCTTATCGGGAGTGATCTCTCGCAGACCGGGGCGGCGGTGTATAACCCCGTTTATGCGGGGTTGTTGCCCGCTGAGTTAGATGGGTATGAGGACGAGGGGTTGGGGTTGCCGTTCCAGTTGACGTTTTTTGTGGATGGGTTTATTAGGCGCGGTGTTGAGAGGGGGTGGTTCCATGCGCCTGGGGCGAGTCAGATGCAGGCGCAGTTGAATGCCTTGATGGATGCGTTTGGGAAGATGGAGACGATTCGGTTGACGCCTATTCCGGTGGCGCATTTGTATGTCTTTTTTCCCGGCCTTGTTTGTCTTGTCTTGTGTTTTTCATGTGAGGCGAGCGGGTTACTGATATGTGCATGGGCTGGTGTAGGATCCATCAGAAACAGGTTCTCGCTTTATATGGGTGCGTTCTGCCCTTCGCCATGGTTGATGATATGGGCTGGTGGACTGTGCCGATCGTCAGCTTGGTGATCTTCACGCTCTATGGCATCGAAGGGATCGGCTCGCAGTTGGAGGATCCATTCGGTTATGACAGGAATGACATCAAGATGGATGCGCTGGTTGGCGATGCGAAGACGGAGATTGATGTTGTGCTTGCGGAGTGGCGGAGGGTTATGGAGATGGCCGATGGGGGGTATCGGGCTCATGAGAGTAATAGTAATGCTGATGGAAACCATGAGGGTAGTGGTGATGGCTTGGTTGCGGAGAAAGGGTTCGCCATGCCGGATATGTTTTTAAGATCGAGAGTGAGAATGCCCGGTCAACCATAGAGTGCGGATTGATTCTCGGCTGGAGTTTGGGTTTGGGGAATTTGGGAAATTTGTATTAATTCGGGCATATCTCTATAATTTGTTACTAGAAGCTTTTTGAATCCCTTTACAACCGCCGCGCTAGGTGTTGCCTATAGAGGAGCCTCCAGCGTAAGCACACTCTCAAGTATTGTATCCGGAGTCGCATATTCCAACACCTTCGTCACAGCCCTCAAGTCACTCCCGTATTGCAAACTGCGATCATCCTCGGGCCTCGCCACGACGATTCGATGGCGGAAGACCTTTTTAGCCGCGAGCGCCACGATCGACGGCGTGAGATAGTCAACACCGTGAATGACAGCGAGGAATCTGCAAATGTTAGCTTCCCTGGAATGGTGTAGTAGGGTTGGTGATTTACTTGGCAAGTTTTGTGAATTGGATGTTCGATCGCGCGGAAACGCCACCCCCAACAGCACGGCTCAGCCGAAGGAAGACGACAATGTCCTGTTGATAGCGGATGAGCTCTGCAGTAGCTTTGACTGCTTTGCTGGCGCTCTGGAGCCTATCCAGGAGCTAGCCGGGTCAGTACTCGCGTAGATTTAATAAAACGTACGGTAAGCTTACCTCATGGCCGATGCTTGGATGTCGATTGTGCTCGCGGGATCCTGTTCTATGAATGACCGAGGACAGGGATACCTGTCCATCAGATTGCCAATCATCATCTTCTAAATACACGTAGCCGTCTTCGGAGTCGTGGAAATGTGAGATAAGAAGGTTATCGTTCTATGTAGGTTAGGAGCAGCTTCCCGGTGATTAGCAGTAAACTTACTAGATGGGAATTGAGCTTCGGCCGAACCTGCCCTGGATCGCGTTTTACAACAGGGACAAATAAGAAGTGTGGCGGGGCTTCGATGGCATCGTTCCCCATCGCCAGCTTCTTCGATCGCATCAACTACTGATACATTAGCTGAGTGAAAGAGAAAATGCCGCTGAAGAGACTCTGTACCTCTAGGGCCTCAAGCTGTATGTTCTCAGACGCACAGTCGAAATTTTTTGCAATAACAACATCAACAGTGCTGTATTCCACTGCGGCCCCTGGTTCCTTGCGAGGGTAGGCACATATTTGATCACAAAACTCTCCAAAAGATGTGGTATCTGAGAATTCCACAACTTTGTACACAAGACCATATGTATGCGAGCAGATCTGAAGCCATAGTTAGCCTTTGTATGAAAGCATCTTGTTAAACTTACCAAGGCGAGTTCCGCAGCAACGTCATTAATGTTGCCCCCAGTAGCTTCAATCAAGCAGTGTTCCTGCCCGCCCAAACACAGGAGAAGAGCTAATTCAAGATCCGACAGTTCACGAGCGAGCTCGCTTATGTCTTGCGTATCATCCATCATTATATTCCGAGATGAAACTCATGGTGCATAAACGCAGCTGGGTCTATGTATTGATGTAGAAAGTCGGGGCCGCAGTGGCTGTGGGCAGCCTGATATGGGCGTAGTCAAATCGGGTTAGCGCCGGGCCCAGCCATGTGAGCTTGAGCTCCGAACGACAACAGGCGGCGACCAAGAAACAACCACTGCATCAGCCGCTTTTCCATGAATCTGTCATCTGCCAATGGCGCCGTCTAATCCACTGGCTAACTGGGAAAGGCTAGGAACTAGCTTCTATCGAAAAGTCCCTGTTTACTTCTCCGTCTTCGACGACGATGTCGAGTTGGAGAACTACATTGTTGCCGGCGCGCCGTACGGAGGGGCCATTGGTATGCGCTTCTCTGCTGCATTTGGTTGAAATAAGTGTTGATTTGATGTAGCGCTGTATCGAGATGAAAGCAAACCCATGAGGTTTCGAGACGCGCAGACGTCGAAGTCGAACATTGACATTTACTCCCGTTCTGGGAAGCGGATTAACCGCCTTAATGTGCGTTCCTTTATCCTGCTAGTGAGCTAGCTGTATATCTGACTCGTCCCAGTGGGAACATGGCACGATTAGAGGGCTTGGATGGTCCGATCAGGAGGAGTTACTTGTGATTACTGAGGATGGCACTGTTCGACGGTACTTTGGCTTGTACGGTGACTTTACTTCATTTTCTCTGGGGAATGTAAGTGCAATCCAAATCGAGTTCGGATTTCAATTTTATGGGCTAACTTCCACAGGGAGCTGAGGAGTATGGAGTGCGGGCATGCCGGTTCTGGAACTCGGGCTTTGTTGCTTTGCTTGCCAACAATCAGCTAATTGCTGTTTCCAACTACCAGGAGCCGCGACCCAGGCTATTAGCACAGTGCCCGGAAGGTGAAGTCGCTTCATGGTCATTGATCCCTCCAGCTTATACGCTGTCTCGATCGGTCGAGGTTCTGCTTGCTGTTGATAAGACGATATATCTCGTAGATCCGACGGACGCAGAGGACAAAGTGCTCCAAAATGGACCATTCAAGCACGCTAGTGTATCGCCTACGGGCCGGTTTGTTGCGCTAATCACAGCCGAAGGCAAAGTCTGGGTGGTTAGCAGTGACTTCCAGAGCAAGTACAGCGAATATGACCCAGACTCCCGTGTCACCCCTCGTACCGTGGAGTGGTGCGGCGATGACGCAGTTGTTATTGCCTGGGAAGACGAGGTGCATCTCATCGGCCCAAACGGAGCTGCTGCACGGTAAGCTTGCCATCCGCTGTGCTAGAAGTTTTCTAATTTGGTAGGTATTACTACGATGGAACCGTTCATATCCTGCCAGAGTTTGATGGCGTTGGTCTGATCACTAATGATACTTATGAATTTTTACACAAGGTGTCAGGCAAGTTTCCTGCTTGATTTCTCATTTTCTCTCCTGCTGACTAGAGCAGACGTAACTGAGACTATTTTCCGACTCGGTTCGACATCTCCAGCGTCCGTTCTTCTGGATTCCATCGACCTCCTGGAGAAGAAGTCTCCCAAGGCAGACGATAATATTCAACGGATCAAGCCAAGCCTACCAGAGGCAGTTGATGCCTGTGTCAGGGCATCCGGGATGGAGTTCGATGCTTATTGGCAGAAGCGATTGCTAAAAGCAGCTTCATTTGGAAAATCAGTTCTAGATCTGTACAACAGCGATGAGTTTGTTGAGATGACCGAGAAGCTGCGAGTATTGCAGGCAGTGAGGGATTTTGAAATAGGACTCCCTGTTTCATATGAGCAGTATATGCGTTTAACTCCGGAGAAGCTGGTTGAGCGTCTTGTGAACAGGAGAGAATACTTACTTGCAATTCGGATATCAGAATACCTCCAACTCCCTGCTGACAGAATATACGTGCACTGGGCGAGTTCGAAAGTCAAGGTTTCTACAGTCGACGATGAAGCCGTGTGCAAGTTGATCGTGCAGAGACTGGACGGAAAGCCGGGAATCTCCTTTGAGGTAATCGCACAGGCTGCTTATGACGAGGGCCGCACTCATCTAGCAACGGAGCTTTTGAACCATGAACCGCGGGCCGGGAAACAGGTTCCATTGTTGCTCAATATGGAAGAGGATGAAATCGCACTGGACAAGGCGATCCAGAGCGGGGATGATGACCTCGTCAACTACGTCGTACTTCATCTGAAAAGCAAGCTTCCCATCGCTAGCTTCTTCAGGATGATTAACACGCGCCCAATGGCATCTGCACTTGTGGAGACGACCGCCCGTGAAGAGGACACCGAGTTGCTGAAGGATTTATTCTATCAAGACGACCGGCCTTTGGATGGCTCTAACATACTTCTTTCGGATGCTTTGAAGCAGACGGACTTGCCGCGCAAGCAGGAACAGCTTCAGCTCGCTTCCCGGTTAATCTCTGACTCTAAGGACCCGACATTGATCTTGCAGCAGAAGCTACTAACTGAGTCGTCACAACTGCTCAAAGTCCAGGAGGTCTTGGACAAGGATCTGGCAGAAAGGTCTGAGTTCCTTGGCCTGAGCCTGAATGAGACAATCTACAGGTTGATCAGATCTGGATACGGTAAACGGGCACAGAAGATCCAAGGCGACTTCAAAATGCCCGAGAAGACATACTGGTGGTTGAGACTACGAGCATTGGTAGCTAAGCGTGACTGGGGTGAATTGGAAGAAATCGCCAAGGTTAAGAAATCACCGATAGGATGGGAGGTGAGTCAAGACATTATATCATTGGTATCATTGCACAAGCTGACATGAACGTGAAGCCTTTCTATAACGAAATTTTGGGTGCTGGAAACACAAAGCTGGCCTCGGCCTTCGTCCCTAAATGCACCAACCTGCCCGCCGAGGAGAGGATTGAGATGTGGGTAAAATGCGGAATGATTGTAAAAGCCGGAGAGGAAGCCTTCAAGGCAAAGGATGTCAATACCCTCGAAGTTCTTCAAGCGAAGGCCTCCGGCCCGTCTGCCGTCGAGGTTGGAAGGATGATCAACCAGCTCCGGCCAAAGAAATAGTGATGCGATCACTTCGTCTTTTATCCATCTTATGGTCAGTGCCTCAGGTAATCTCGTCGTCCTCATCAACAGGGGCATGCTCGTCCACCACGACGTTTTGAGTAGCAGGTTCTTCGCGTGATTTGGACCTGTTTCCGGCGGCTGTGGAAACATCAACCATAGCATCGTCGTCGTCATTACTACCTGCTTCAGCCAGCGCCTCGAATTTGGACGCTTTTCCGTTCAGGTCGGTCCACTCGGCCTAGATACACCCGTTAGGTTTAAGAACAGGTTCTGCAGGGTGTCTGGACTCTTACCCTGCGGGACTTGACGGCTTTCGCTCGGTTCTCGCTCTTGGCCACCTTAATCTCTAACTGATCCATAATAGCTTCTGCCTTGTCAATGCCCTTCTGCTGCCGCAGGCGTTGCGCCCGTGATTTGGCTTTCGGTTTAGACTGTTTCTTTGACACCCCAGCATTGGCACGATCGGCAAGAATGGACTCGCGTTGCATGGGCGTGTTCTCAACTCGAGGAAGGGAGGTCAAGGACTTGTCGAGGTCGAGACTCGGTGACGCTGCCCGGCGGGCAGCCCGCGAGTGTTTTGATACATCTGATACAAGACTGTTAGCATAAGCGTTTAGAGGCAGTTAATACCCTAACTAGAGGTAAATGAGCGACTCACTCCTTGCTTTCGCCATAATTTGATATCGTCGTTTGTGTAGCTTTTTTTCTGCGTAGAATATTTTTGTGGAGACTGCTATCGATAAAAGCCCGCTACGGGCGACCGCACGGACCCAAAGTGCAGCTGGGGCGCTTTCATGCAGCCGATCTGCAGGTGCTTCCTTTCTCCATACTACACTTTTTCTTCCTCTTCTAGTTGCCTATGTTTCCAGCAACGCTGTCTCTATGCCGTGTTTCATAGCCTTCCATCAGCCATGAATGCTCGCAGAGAGGGGATTGATTTCCTCACTCAGAGTCGCTATAACAGCAGGACGTCCTCCGATTATGATGATTTCTGGCATCACTTGCAGAACGCAAACCTAACATATATTCTTGTGACAGCTGTATCAGTTTTCTTTTTCCTTAACTACCTTAAACCAGTCCCAGCATCGGTTGTTGGCACCGTGTGGGATCTCGTCGTCTATCTAACGCCGTCTCGAATAATCGCCGCCCTGGACTCGAAAACCGCAACAGAGGAACCTTCGGACCCGCCAAACTTCCAAGCAAAAAGCGAGGCGATGCAACGTATACTCGGACTCGATCATGCTTCGTTCCCTTCATTTTTCCCTCGGCCGACGGCTCTCTCCGGACTCAGCACCGCCCTCTTAGGAAGCAAGGACACTGTTCCCCCGGGGTTAGGGAACTGGGATAACTCGTGCTACCAGAACAGCATAATCCAGGGGCTAGCGTCGCTCCCATCGTTTGCGGAGTTTCTAGGGCGGAATATCGATGTTCTTAGTGGGAAATTCTCACTTTCGACTCATGAAGCACTCAGGGGGATCATCGAACGGTTGAATACTGCGGATAACCACGGTCAACGGTTATGGACTCCCGCGGATTTGAAATCTATGAGCAGCTGGCAACAGCAGGATGCCCAGGAATATTTCTCGAAGGTGGTCGACCAAATCGATCATGAGGTGCAGCAGGCTACAAGACGACAGACGCGCAACCTTGGTTTGAAGATGGCGGGACCGCAAGAACACGTTATTGGGGCTGCTTCAACACAGGCGAATAGCTCTGCTGAATCAGGGCAGTCGGCGAAGCAATCATTCCGCAATCCTTTGGAAGGCCTTCTTGCACAGAGAGTTGGATGCATGCAATGTGGATGGACAGAAGGACTGTCCCTGATCCCTTTCAATTGCTTGACGGTGCCTTTGGGGGCGAGCTACGAATACGATGTCCGGGACTGTCTGGATGAATATATGAACCTGGAGCCGATTGAGGGTGTGGAGTGCGCGAAATGTACCTTACTTCGCGCTCAAGACCAACTTCGCAATCTGCTGCAGCAAATCAAGGATGACGAAAAACTCTCACAAACGGCCGATTCAACTACCATGTCGGACGCGCTCAAAACATCAGCTGAGCAGCGACTGCGGGCTGTTGAGGAGGCACTATATGATACCGATTTTACGGAAAAGACCCTGTCGAAGACATGCCACATCCCCTCGAAGAGCAGGGTTTCTACAACAAAGTCAAGGCAAGCTGTTATTGCAAGACCCCCCAGCTGCCTCGCCATTCATATCAATCGGAGTGTTTTTGACGAAAATACTGGTTTACTGAGAAAGAACTACGCCGCCGTCAAGTTCCCCGGGGTCATTGATTTGAGCGAATGGTGCCTAGGAGGAAGTTATGCGGAAGCCGTCGAGGAGAAGATCGAGAACTGGGGCACAGATCCTCGGGTATCGATGCTACCCCCACCAGGCGCCGTGAGAGATACTTTCGGACGCCGTTACGAGTTGCGTGCGGTAATTACTCACTATGGCCGCCACGAGAATGGCCATTATATATGCTATAGAAAATACCCCGTCGATATATTCCCGGCCCACGTCCCCGAAACAATTTTGGAGGCGGATGGCGAGAAAGAAAAGGCCGAACGTTGGTACCGACTGAGCGATGAGGACGTTCAAATGGTTAGCGAGGAGAATGTGATGACCCAGGGAGGTGCATTCATGTTGTTCTATGAATCTGTTGAAGCGTCTGGCTCTGGGCTAGGCGAGACCAGCTCTAATGGAGTTGGGAATCCAGCAACGAGCTTCAGTTCTGCTTCACCGGAAGATATGTCTTCTATTACCTCGACAGCCACCGATCGTTCGACAGTCTCCGACACATCCCGCGCTACAAGCGTATCGACCGACGGTGTTGATACACCCAGCGAGAAGGACCAGCCTAACTCGGAAGTCGACTAGACCTCCAGTATTGACCACCTTCACGTACCCTTGAACTCAAAACATGCAGTTGCGTGTACAATGATACCCAAACAGAGCATAATAGGCGTTAGCGGCTTGCCAGATTTTCTCTTATTGTATTTATATCACGGAGATCTTGGTTGTATCAGTACCCACTCCGAATACATTAAACTAGTGTCATTGATAAACCTCCAGCAAATATACTGGTAAATTTTATGTATGCATCAAAGGCCACATCCAACACCTTAAACACCATGCACGCAATAATCCATGACCGTAAGAAACCAAACCTAGAAAACGCCCGCCCGTAGCATGATATCATGAAATTGCTCCAACGACACCCCAGCATCCACACCAGCACCCCCATTAGCTTCCAGAATCATATCCCTAAGCAACGCATCGCCTGAATCCTCTTTCAGTTCGCGTGCGATCCTTCTCAAATGGCTCAATGTTATCGGTCCGTCTGTCCCACGGGTAAACAGCTGAAACGCAGTGTCGACCTCCGCTGACATCGCCTCGTCAGACCGCGATCGCAGTTTCGCCGCCGCGACAGAGAGAAACGGCGCATAAGGAACGTAACCAGTGACTGTGGGGTCTACCGCCGAGAGAATCGATTGGAGTTCCTGCGAAGATTCGGGGGAGAGACCTAAAGCTCTATTGAGCCATCGGAGTTAGTGTCTATAACTGCAGGCGCATCTCGGAGAGGACCAACATACACAAGAGCCTTCCGCACATCCTCCCTTGCAATCACCCCTTCCTTTTCATTGGGGAATTCCTCGTTCGGCTCGGAGAAGATGTGGAATACCTCTTTGATCTCGTTTTCTTCTTCGCCGCTGATGTCGTTCTCCTTCGCGAGTTTGGATTGTCGTGCTTTCTTGGGGGCTGACGAGGATGCGCTGGGCGCGGAGCGCTTCTTTGGTGGCTTTGGTGGCATAGCGTTAGTTAAGTACCTAGTGAAGCAGCGGGAGTGAAGTAGATGTGCTCACCATGTGGCCGTTGAGTTAGGAAGCTTAGATGCGGTGGTTTGCGGTTGACGTCAAAGAAAGCCGTGAAAGACCCAGAGGCGGGGCTCGGCCATTGGTAGGCGCGGTGAAAGACGGATGACACTCTGACTTTCGTCAGACACTCATATTGCAGAGCAAGAAGACTGCAGTGGATAGCTGGATATCTGATAAGCTGTTGGATCGTCGCATCTCATCGAAGAGGACGGAAGCGCACGCCCGTGATGCTGACGTAAGGCGTCGTACCTGGCATCTGCCTTGTTGCTTTTCTTCACCTGCATTTGTAGGAGGTTGATCATTTTACGGAGTACTTTACTTTGGTATTTGCAAATTCTCTTATTGATTTCTTGCTTGGAAGTTAGTTCGCCAGCGAAACCACGGCTCATCATGGATGTAGAGCTGTATGTCTATGACTTGTCCCAGGTAAGTTACTCTACATGAAGATGATTTACATTGCTAACTCGCACAGGGAATGGCACGAATGGTATGTACAATGCTCACGAGGATGGCATCTCTGACTTGAGTAGTATTCGATGGCCTTGACTGGGACGCAAATTGATGCTGTGTATCATACCTCCCTAGTCTTCAATAACGTTGAGTACTACTTCGGCCAGGGTATTCAGACTGCTCTCCCTGGTAGCACGCATCATGGACAACCCATGGAGAAAGTCCATATGGGCAAGAGCGAGCTCCCGTTCGAAGTGATAGAGGAGTATCTGCAATCGCTGAGCTCTGTCTATTCTCCAGAGGTATGGGGTTCTGTCCCAGTTAGACGTTATATCCTAATAAAGTACAGTCTTACGACCTCTTCCTGCATAACTGCAACAACTTCACCCAAGATTTGTCCATGTTCCTTGTCGGGAAGAGTATCCCGGAGCATATTCGGAATCTTCCTGAGACGTTTCTCCGCACGCCGCTAGGTCAGATGCTGAAGCCCCAGTTGGAGGGTGCCCTCCGTGGGGTAACGCAGGCCCCAGGGCCAGGTCTGCCAGGACCTTCTGCACGGCCTGCTGCTGTCCAGGCCCAGAACAAGGCCCGGGTGGTAAGCAACTTGAGCGAGCTTCAGACACAACTTTCTTCCGCTTCGAAGACTTGTGCGGTCATATTCTTCACCTCGGCGACTTGCCCCCCGTGCAAGATGATGTACCCGTTGTACGATGAGCTCGCTGAGGAGGCTGGCGCTCGGGCTGTCCTCATCAAGGTGGACACCAGTATTGCCCAGGACGTTGGCATGCGGTACAGCATCCGCGCAACACCTACCTTCATGACCTTCCTACGAGGCGAACAACTCGATCAATGGAGCGGAGCGGATGCAGGCAAGCTACGTGGTAACGTCGGGCTCCTTCTCGAGATGGCACACCCTACGCACCGACACCGCGAGCTTCGCCTGCCCAGCTTCCAGCGCACCATCACCAACTACGTCATGTACAAGAAGACTCCTCCACTTGAGAAGCTCGTCCAGAAGCTCAAACCACACGACCAAGACGCCACCCTCCTCTCCATCATCGACTTCATCAAGCGTCGCACCGAGTCCGCAGCAGACACTCCATTACCAGCCGACCTACCTCACTTCGCACCCTACCTCACGCAAACCTTCCAGTCTCTCCCGGTAGAGAACCGCTTCGCCCTCGTCGACCTCGTCCGGCTCCTCTTCATCGACCCCCGCGTGGCAGGCTACTTCGCCGAAGACCCAGCGCACACTCTCCTCCAAGCCCTCTTCTCCCTGGACGACCCCTCTGAATTCAGCACCCCCTACAACCTCCGCATCGTCACCCTCCAACTCGCCTGCAACCTCTTCTCAACCCCCCTCTACACTCACCACCTCTCCTCCCCAACCAACCCGCTCCGCCCAACCCTCCTCTCCCTCCTAACATCCACCCTCCTCGACACGCACAGCAACCTCCGCGTCGTCGCCGCCTCTCTAGCCTACAACCTCGCCGCAATAAACCATAACGCCCGATTCACTGCTGCCACCAACCAAGACGCCAGCGCCGAGCCCCTAACAGAAGAAGAACAAGTCGCGCTAACAGCCTCGGTCGCCGAAGCGCTCACACAGGAAACAAGCAGCGCCGAGGCCCTGCACGGGCTCCTCTTCGCCCTAGGGCTTCTGATCTACGAGGCGCCTGTTGACGGCGCAGTGCTAGATCTTTGTCACGCGCTAGGTCTGAAAGATGTCGTGGACGAGAAAAAGAGCGTTGAGGGTGTCAAAGGTGACTCTTTGTTCAAGGAGGTTGGGGGCGAGCTATTGGGGAGGGGCCTGTAAGATAGTCTCAATAATCAATCGCTGCGTTTCAGATGACGAGGAAGGGAAGTCTAACTTCTGGCCCTAGCCTAGAGGTTTAGGTTTGGATGTTGTTTGATTTGCTTTACTTTGCTTTGCTTTGTTTTGCCTAGATTTGATTAGACTCGGGATCGGAGATGAATGGAGCGAGGGCGAGTGAGACGCAGGCCTTTCCTTACTTCAAGACACTTAACTCAAAGTTTTTTCTACCTACGGCTCGTTCTTTGAGTTGGAACTTAGCAGGCTTGACTTTGAGAAAGGGGTACTGGGGTACTTTTGTACTTAATCAAACAAATCAAAGAAAGAATCAGCAAACCGTTGGAATGATCGTAAGCCAACGACCTGACATGACCTGGCTTACACTCCGGCTCCATTTGATTTGATTATTCAACCCATTGGCAGGGAGAAACCTTAAGCACAAGCACGGATAGAAAGGACTAAATCTTAATTTCAGAAAGAAAGAAAGTAAGAAAGCAATATGCGACGGCGCTGTGATTGAAAGGGCCCCCCCGGGCTCCTCCTTCTTTGTTGCGACATGTCGTGATGAATGAACCCCGAGCAGATCATCTTTTTGCTTTTGCCGGCTCTAGATCTGAAAGCCGTGTCAGTTGTCACCGAGTTAGTCAAGGGCTTCGTTGTCAAATCACTTCAGGTATCTTTGCGTACGGACGGTGTTCATCTCCGCGCACTAGCTCTAAGTTAGTAGTTACTAGTCTTGCTGTCGTTGTTTGATGTCGGACCGAGGGGTCGGATTGGAGTCCGCCCCAGTACCCCAGGACAAGGCGGTGCGAGACGGGGCCAGTTTCAGTTTCAGCTTGGGGCCTAATACTACAAAGTACTCCGTATGGATACGGCTTTCGTATAATAATACTGTAGGAGTCTAAGAATAGAATGTATGGTGTGTATGATAATATCATAACTCGTATTCAGAGTCGAATGCTACCTAATAGAAGAGTAGATGCTACCTAGATATAAAGACAAATCAGGATAAGGGATATCCGGTATGGTATGGGTATGACGCTGGGCTATGCTAATGAGTAGGAAAATCGGAAAGGAAATGCAACCAAGTAACTAACGTGAGCTGCTGTGGCACGCTCGGGTATGAAGATAACAGAAGAAGAGTACACGACTGGGTATCGAACAGGACATGAATAATAAGATAAGTAAGTGAAATAAGGCAGATGATCGCTAAAGCAGGAAAGTAGGATTATGAAGGAAACGATTTCCCGAAACGGAGATATCAAGAAAGAGCCCAGTGAGTCATACTCCGGAGTTGACAGCACAGACAAGAGAAGAAGAAAAGAAGATGTGATAAGATGGAGAAGAGTGGGAGACGATGAGATCTGGCGGTGAAGACAAGGTGGGTGATAGGCTGCTGCATGCATGAGCAGCAGTCATGGGGGGAATTTCTTCAGGCGCCGACTGCGACTGCAATTAGGTAAGCTGCGGGTCGGGTCGGGCACCGAATCACAGGCCGGCGCGAGACTGCCTCTTTGGGGAATTCCCGCCCGCTCAGCGCGTTTGACCTCCGCACGTGTGCTCAGCCTCGTTGTATGCCCGCTGACATGCTGAGATGAAGCTGGGGCGAGGCGTGCCGTGGTGGTCAGCGAGGTGATATGCTGTGTTGCTGTGGTGGTGGTGGTGATGATGTTGGTTGGTGGTGAGGTCAGCACCGCTCGGAAAGCCCTAAGAACGACCCGCGTGGAGAAACCGAGTGCTGAAGACGCGGAGAGCTGTCTAGGTGCGGTAGACAATGCCCTTGGAAGACGAGGTGGTGCGGCGCTTCTTCTCAGCGACCACGGGCTTGCGCTTCTTCGTGCGCTTGTTGCTTTGCTTCTCGGTGGCTACAAGCTGGGCGACACGCAGTGCCTGCTGGGCTTTGGCGTGGGCCTGGACCTGCGCGAGGAAGCGTGCTCGCTGGGCCTCCTCCTCGGCTGCCATGCGCAGCATCTGGACCTGCTGCTCGGTGGTCATGCTGCTGGCTCCCATACGCAAGTCGATGCCGGCGGATTCCTCGTCAATAACTGGCTCCGGGGTGATGAGTCCACCAGGGAACAGGTCCTCGTCAGAAAGGTAGGCGCTGGCTGAGGAGCCCTCCGTATCGCAGCTGATGAGCGAGGGGCGGTTGGGCCACGAGGGGAAAGCACAGGCGTTGTTGGTGGAGTTGGAGGAGAACGAGCACTTCTGGGGGGTGATGTCGAGGAGGTCGTCGTTCAGTGACGGTGGTGGCGGCGGCGGTATGCTACTCGCCAGCGGAGAGCATGTGCTGCTGCCGAAGCTCATGTCGAAGTAGACATGGTGGTTGCTGGAGCTGGCCTCGCTGAGGGACGAGCGTATGCTGGACTGGTCCCTGCTCCAGGGCTGGAATGGGTACACCATCTTGCAGGTGTTGTGGATAGTGAGGAGAGAATGGTGGTGGTGTTGTCGGTTTGGAGAGTGGAGAGTGGAGTTCAGGCGAGTTGAGAGGGAGACAGGAGGCTATATACGCCGTAGGTGAAAGGGTGTGTTATGAGGCGTGTTGTGAAGGATGTGGTGAAGAAAAGGGACCCAGACAAACAGCGGAGCGTGAAAGGGCTATATATGAATGTGAAAGGGCCGGCCAGATCGATCGGGGGTTCTGGACTCCCTTGCATGGCCCAGCAGATAAGGCGCCGCGGGGAGGGTATTTTTTTATTTTATTTTATTTTATTTTTTATATTCCCGATTTGGCCATTTTCGAGACCCGAAAATGGATAAATAAATCGGGTGGGGCCCCGAGTTCCAAAAGGCCCAATTCCCGGCAATGAGGCGTTCACTGGCGACGATGACAACCTGTGAGTCAAGCGCGGCGATCAGGCGGAAGGCGTTCCGGCCAACTGCTGCAGATTGATGTTTGAATATTCTGAATAATTCGAGGTTTGAAATGATCTGTCCAGACTCTTGAGAGTGACAGATGCGCAACCAAAGTACGTCCAAGTCTTGAGGTGGGATCTATCGATTTGTGTCTTTGATCGTTCAACCGTTCGTCCTTTCATCCTTTGTGTCCGACTGTTTTCTTTCAGCCGGTCCGCGGACCGGGGAAGGTCGGATGGAATTTGGGGTCGCGGCCGTGGGGACGAAGGGACCAGCGAAGGAATACGGAAAAGGAAAAAATAAAATAAAATAAAATAAAATAAAATAAAATAAAATAAAATAAAATAAAATAAATAAAATCAACCGCCAACCATTTTCCATTTAGCCGCTGACGATTTTCGTCCTTGTTCCGGAATAATTCATTCCCCAGATGAACCGTCTCATTTTCCAGCTTACTGTCCATTCTGACAGCCAGACTTCGGACGGACTACGGAGTTCTTCAGTTTGCTTCGTGTAGCGGTCTGGGTTTCGTACCCAACCGTCTCTGCTTGGTGTTGGTGTTGGTCATGCATTCTCACCGCTCCAGCTCAAGCAGACCCTGTTCCCGGCGGATGTGCGACGCCGCTGCATGTATTATGTACTCACCCCTCCAACTCATAAGGGTTCGCGTCCATCCTGCCCAGTCCTTGCTGCATCGTCTGGCGGTCAGAAACAAACAGTCAAACGCCGACAAACATCCTTGGTGTTGGAGAATTGTGGTCGCAGATTGAGACTCGACAGGTTTGACTCTTCACATTGTCTCCCTGATGCGAATCACAGACGTACTTTGTATCAAAAAAGCAATATCGGATGATCTCGTGGGACTTCCGGGTGAGATATTCGTCCTCGTCACATCACGGGTGTCTCCGCTACGCGGTATGCGCGGGGAATCTCCGGCGATTATTCTCGCTGCTTGTTACCTCAGTCAGAGCAAAAGCTGTCGGGCGGTACGGAGTAATTAATTAACTGTTTCTATTCGCGATTTGTGTCAACTGTATCACTTGTATCAATTGTAGGGCCGTTTGTTTGAGCCTGGAAATCAACTCCCGACCCCCACAGCTCATCTCCCCGTTGGAAATCGAACCTGAGCCACGGGTCGCCCCCTTGTCAGGCTGTTGGTCTGACGGAGGACGGAGGAACCTGCCGCAGGCCCGCCGCATCTCCAGTTCGGTGAGCTCGTGGATGCTCTAGAAGACAAAGAACGAGTCGTCGGCTTCTAGCTTGCCATCCGCCGTCGCACCATCGCCGACCGGCAAAACTAGGCACAATTCTCTTCCCAACACAGCAAGGCGACTCCACCATCCGCCATAAATTCGCCCTTTTCAAGTGCCGCTAGCTCAACGGCTTTAAGTCGGAAATCTCCCCGTTCTCCAACCGTCATTTTCCGTCGGGGGCGCGGCGGATTCCCCCTTTGAAATTGGCCGTCATTTCCTGAACAGGAACGTTTGGTTCATTTGCGGGAAAACTCCGGAATCGACCCAAATTTCGGTCCTGCTGGTCTTCGCTTCTGATCCTCGCTCCTGATCCTCCTCGCTCCTCGGCGGAACGCTGCGCGAGGGACCTCCGCGTCCGCGTCCCGGCTGGATGGCTCTTTTAATAACCGAGGTCTCCCAATCCCCAGGTTTGGCTCGCCTCACACAGTCACGGCTGCCGAGTCCGAAGCAAATAGACGTAACCTCGGAAAATTACAAGAATGTGAGGCAGATGGTGAGGCAGTTGTGAGGCAATTGTGCACTGTCGGCGGCCACGCCAGAGGAGGGTAATTGAATGTGATGCGATGATGCGACACCGACTGTACTTTGGCTACCCCTGCTTCCGCAGCTGCATGTACGGCTATCTGGGTGTGATGCAGCATGCCCGATCCGGACTCCCAGGAGACTGGGACATCCACCGGAGAAACTGAACTAACTGAAGTTGAGTGTTTGCTAGAAATATTGGTTGTCCTGTTTGCCAACCACAGAGTGGGATTATTTTCACGAGCCTCTCGCGGCAAACGTAAAGCTGGTCCGCGAGGGTCCTTGAGGAGGAATGGTGGGACAGCTGCACCGGGCCGGGCCTCAGCAACGAGTGACGAGTCTCGTCACCACAACAGTGGTCGAACACCGGTTGTTCGGTTGAAGGTTGTTACCAGTCACAACCAGTAAGCCATGGACCGCGCCATTCGCGGGACGACTCTCAGCCAGAGCTCGCTCATTGCTTTTCCTGAATTAATCCCACTGCCGCCATCCTGATCCTTCATCTGACAACCGATAATCGAACCGTTGCCTCGGATTCCCCACCCTTCGCGGAACCGACCTTGAGCATCCGTAAATGATGAATCGTGCCCAAGGGGCAGCAACGAAGCATCAGCTCCAGGAACTAATCAAGGCTAAACAGTAGTCGCAATGATCAGTCTCCATCAACACCCAGCCATCCAGCTCCGTCTGGGACTTCGTCATCCAGCAAGCAGCCAATCAACTTCCCCCCATGCTCGGGAAGGCCCGCGG